GAATTTGTTCTTGCTATTGAAAGGCAGTTCATAGGTCATTTTCCACGTCTGGCGCAACTCTGAAACCGAACCTAAACTCTCAGAGAACCTGAGGATGGCCTGGTCGGTGGCATCTCCATATATACGTCTTTCAGCCAAAGGAAGGGTTGAGGACGAAGCATCAAACTCGGCTGCATTACACAGAGCGGCTGCGGCACGAAGTTGGTGGACACCCGATGTCTTCCCATCCACCACCATCCGGTCTCTTGCCGACTCCGGGCTCAGAGTAGACGTAGATATGGCACAATTGGTGACGAACATTTTGTTCTGTTGAGGTGAGTGTCATTCGAAAGCCTGATGATCAAGGAACAGAACACCTACCCTTGTCAAAGTACCAGTTTTGTCGGAGCAAATAACGGACACCGCACCTAGGGTCTCTACTGTCTTTAGTGACTTACAAAGAATCTTGTTCTTGCGCATGAGATTAGCAGTGATTGTCAAGCTAGCAGTCAACGCAATTGGTAGGCCCTCTGGAATAAACGCGATCGCGACGCTCACGCAGTCAACAATCAGGGTAGGAACATTGATCCAGTCAGGGTGATCGACTCTGAGCCAAGTAGCCCAGACAATAACCACGACAATGATCATGGTCAACATAATGAGCACAATCAGTAGGACGAATCGAAGGACTTCCTTCTCGAGAGTTGTCAGGCCTGTTTTGGGCTCGTTCGTTAATTTAGCAATACCACCAAAGACTGTTGAATCAGCCGTGGCAACGACAATTCCCTTCGCAGTTCCTGAAACACAGTGGGTTCCCTGAAGGCCAATGCAATGCGTCTCAAGGTAGTTATCGTCGGTCGAATCCACCGTTCCATGAACCGGTAATGACTCGCCTATGAAGCGTTAGCGCGACGGTCCAGTTGAAAACAACGAATTGATCTTACCAGTGAGAATTGACCGATCAAAGCTTGCGTCGTTCGAAACATCGATAAGCCGCACATCAGCGGGTAACTTGTTTCCGGCTTTGAGATAGACAACATCCCCCGGGACAATATCTGGTCCATCAACAGTGACCTGCGACCCGTCTCTCTGCACTAAGCAGCTTTCCGGCAACATGGCAGTGATAGACGCCATAACGCGGGAAGAGGACCAGTCTTGCCATGCATTGAACCCTGCCTGGATAAAAAATACAGCGAGCAAGACGATAGCTAGAGCCAAGTTGGCTTGTGACGGTGGTTGACCGAGGGGCTTCCACGAAACAAAGACCAGAACACATCCGACGAGAAGGATTGCTCCGAATCCTTTGAAGAAGTATCCAAATATCTGCCAGAACCATCGATGAGGCAGCGGGGCGAGAGAGTTCTTGCCATATTGACGAAGCCGTCTTTGAACCTGCTCGGACGACAAGCCTTGGGATGCATCAACCTGCCAACGCTTTTGTAGTTCTTCTACCGATATAGTGTGCCAATCGAGGTTTGAGAGATCTAAAACATTGGGCATTAGGTCTGGCAGGTCTTCGACGTACACAGCTGTATATTTGGGTATCAGCTTACCAGTTGCGATTTCGCTCTTCGCTTGCGCAGCTTTCGTACGGTGAAGAGCTTCGGCCTCGTCGATCTCAAAGGACCTTTTTGTTTTGCTTAGCTATCCTGAAGGAAGTCGTGCAGGGTATTGGAGAGCTATATACGTACACTGTTCGATAATGGATTGGTAGGGAAAGAGAAGGATCAACAGTGGTCCTCCCTTTGAGATTGCGACCTGAGTGCTGAGAGCTGTAAGAGGCAGAGCGATTCAGCCTGTTCAATCGAGGCCTTTCGGTATCACCGGATTCCTCGTCGACATTCTGCCAACGCAGATGCGTCGCCTCTGCATTGGGTATTTTCTGCTCCATGTGCGCAATCTTAACACCTAGATTGTGTATAGATCAAGGTGAAACACAGAAAGCAGGGGGAAATAACACAAACTGAGGAGTATTCTGGCCAGAAAGTCTTCCCCGGTCACCATTTGCATCCTGCTTTAAATATGCATGTCTGTGCAGCCATGTGGAGATGGCATGGTCAGCGCGTGGTCTCGTGTTGAGATAGAGGCAGTGCGTGATTAATGTGTTCAACGAGTGGTTCATAAAAGCTGGTAAATGCCTCGAGCGGGTGGAGAGCTGATTGCCGACAAAGAAGCAGTTTAGCGTTGAGGGAAACATTAATATGACAGCCTAAGAGCGATTTGATCACCCAATCGGGGTTTGTTTGATGCGCCACTGATTTCTGTGGATGGGAAAAGCTCGGACATATCCTGTCACGTTTGAGAGAGATATGCACTTAAGCCAATGGAAACAAATGTTTATAATTGACATCTTAATTGACTGGATGAGAAAATGTCCTCACGATACTTCATTCACCTTCATCTTATCACAAGGTCGCCAAGCCCTAACCGATCGGCTCGGTAGAAATAGAGTAGTCAAGAAACCAAGAAACCGAGAAACACCAAGCACCTTATCATACGTAAAATGTGGATTCGCCGGAATTTGAGAAGCTTGATCGGTAAGTGAGTCTTGGCATATGATGGCTCTTGACTAGCAAGGTGAATGCTGTCATGACGTACAGGAGAACACAGTCGGAGCCAACATATGTCACTTCCAAGAATAGCCCCGCATTTGCGTTATGGTCGGGTTTATTATACTATCAATATGTAGATTCGCCCTCTCTTGGGTCGGTCGACTGCGTCCGGGGCACGAAACAGATACCCACATAGTGCCAATTTGTTGGTTCCCTGCATGTAAGGTGTCCTCTACTCTAAATATCAGACAGAATGAGGTGTGAAAGTGCACCGTGAGACTCCCGACAGCAAGATCTAAAAGAACCTTCATAGGTATAGTAAGGGTTGTATTGATGCCGTTTTGCCAGTGGCTTGCCAATGAAGAGGTTAGCCTTGCACATTCACAGCTGAGGTAGCTTTACGCAGTTGGCGACTAACCGATCATGTCCGTTTTGATAGGTTGGATACTCATTACCATGAATTACTGGACCATGAGTGTGCAGACTTCATCACATGGGGAGCTAGGTGATTCTGTTGGACTGGTGCCATCAACGAAGGGAGACTAACGGTCGGGGTAATCCTGTTCCCGGGCTCTATCGACCCTTGAATGGGTAGCTGGCTATCTCTGTACGTATAGCCAAGATGTGGGCTTGGAGAAATAAAGCTTTCGCATCTGCTCTCTAAAGTAGTGTGTTGCTGTTGTTGGTCTGTCGCAAAGGAAGTTGAGCTTGGCAGTTGATTGCAAACTTCCACCGAAACATTAGTATCGACTGGCACGTCGACTGGCCGAAGAGGAACAAGACTACTCATAGTTGGTGAGGCGTTTGATGGTTCATGAGGCCGAGGTGCAAGTGGTAAGCACGCTGCATTCACACTGGAAGAAACTCTGCGCGTGGTTTTCTTCTAACAAAATCCGGGAGCCTCGAGTTAGCTTGATATATATTTCGCAAAGACCATATCGCAACTCCTAAATTCGGACATAAGGAAGGGCTCAGGCAGCAACGAGGGGATGAGTACTTCAGAAGGAGCTTTCGTTTTCTTCACCCTGGAGCTTTGCTGTAATTTGTAGTGCTCCTTTGGCCTCGGACATGGGGTCTGTTTACACACGGAACAAGTGACAAAGGGACGACCTTTCCGATTGATGCGGATCAGTGGCCGATCTGCTATTTATGTCAGCATGTAGCCGTACAAAAGAGAAAGAATGAAGACGAGAAGCAAGAAACACGATGCTGTACCATGGTGTTCACAAGTACTTACACGGTGCCCGCGAACGCAAGGCCCGCAAGCCCACTTCACACCGTCTACTAACATATCTGCTAGCTTTGCCGGAAGTTAATCAGATTGAAGGTTGCCTCTGATTAAAAGGAGCTAAGCTACAGTATTTATGTCAACACGAGCGGGAACGAGAGAAATACTGGCAACTGATTGACAATCCGAGGTACAGAAATTGGCATCACGACAGGCCTGAAATTGGAATAGCGAAAACCTTAACTTATTTGCTTCCTGGCTGTTAATTGGGCTTTTGCAAGGACGAAATTATCAGACTTAAACACTCTCGGCATAGGGTGGTCGAACCTGTGTTGTTCAGGGCAATATAAAGTATGCGGGATTTTCCTGCGCTACTAAGTGTTTCATATGCTGGGAATCAGCAAGAAAGTGCCTCATACATTTACACCGAAGCTCGCATCGACGCCAATGTATGAATCCACCCCATACTAGGCTTGGTGGGGCTCATATTGTGTTGGAATAAGGCCGTGATAATGAAGTGTCCTAGATCCACTTTATGATCGCCTTCCTTTGTGTCCGACAGCACTCACCTGATGTTGCATACCCTAAAGTCTAAGATGGTCTAAAATCGACAACAAGCCCTATAGCGTCTTGAACGTAGATTTCTCTATGTTGGCTTCATTTAACTACAGTTCAATGCTACGCCGTACACGGGTTTATATTCATCGCGGGTGCCTTATAACCTCCAGTACCGCGTCTGCCTTTCCACTCCATCTCACACATGTAGGAATCAATATGATGCAAATTTAATTCTTTATTCATCGGAGGTTATCTCAACTCCTGAATACCGAGGTATTTCCAAAGTATCCGTGCTAGGGGCAGACTATACATCTACAAGGCTCTAGGGATGATTGATTCTGATCAGAATTATTATGATGGTCCTTTTACCCAGCGATGTGGTGTACCATGGAGGGTGACTGTAACAACCCGGGAAGGCGGTTTATGATACTTAAATCGAGAAAGATGTCCAATTAGTGATTATCTGAGAAACCAATCTCACGTGGCTGTTCCATAGCCCTTATACCCAGACCATAAGCCAGCCCCCTCGAACAGAATACAAAGAGTGACTCATTGTGGTTATCATCCACCAATAGTGTTGGTGTTTATTTGACAGGCGAATCACGAAAGCTTGCAAAAGACATGACATAATAAAGAATATACACGGCACGCGCACTTGAGATAACGTAGAGAGGAACTTTCGGTCAGTTGGCACCAAGGCCTTTGTTGAGGGCGACATGAGCCTTGCGATGAGCTTCGCGTGCCGGAGGATCTTGTCCCTTAGGGAGAGGTTCCTCTGCACTAGGCGGGTCGACCGTGTATTTAATATGATCACCGATAATCATTGCATTCGATGCCAAATTCCCGAACAATCCACCGCTGTTATCGGCATACTTGGAATGATCCTCCAGGCCGACAGCATTCAGTAGCGCGTTATTTTGCCTTCGGTGGAGATCTACTTTGTAATATTCCGGGGTTAATGAACAATTCTAGTCTAACGGTGGGTATCTACTAACCTTGGGTAATACCACTTGTCTCCTCAATTGGTGCTGCCAATGCTAGGGTGCTCGTCACCAGAATGGTGAGTATTGATGAAATGTCGGCCCTCATGGTGAGTAGTCTCCAGGTGCTCTAACTGCAAACAAATTTGGGGTGTAATTTTTTGCAATCCGAGGGGAGAGGAAGACAGAGAATATTTATGAATAGACAATGGCCTAGATTGTATATGGTTAAATTTTCGAAGTGCAAGGGCTAGTTTATTTATGAATTGCAATCTTTCACAAGCAAGCAACGATGAGGCTTGGTAGCATCGTCCCTACGTGGGTCCATTTTTCAGTCGTTTCAGGCAAACTCTACCAGGTCCAAAAATGAGCATTTCGCCCTACCATAAACTTGGCTCGTGCTAATTTTCGAACTCACCGATTTGAAATTGTTTCTTGATTAAAATAACACCAAAAAATAATAAAGAGGGCAACAAGCTGTGCCCATGATCGTGCTACCCAATTTGGATATCTGCGCGCCACTAACTTTGGTTATTTCGCGACGACTAGCCAAAGCTTCCGTGAGGTTACATCCAACTTCGTGCGATTATTGAATGCCCCATACGTATGAAACAACACCAGAGACGGTATCAAGGCTTGATCAATTGTAGGTTACCTCGGGTTCCAGGAATGGCCACAAGGCAACTTGCAGCTTACTTTGCTTATGACTTTAACGCAACAAGATGAAAATGCAAAAGCTAGCTCTACTGTGGGGGATCTGAGTTGACACGAGGTGAGCCCCCCAGAATATTAGACAGATTAGGGTGAAAGAACAAGGGAGTTTTCGCCAGACTTCGGAGTGTAAATCCGCTGGCATCCTCTTGAGTAGAAAGAATACTTCGATTGGGGTTGCATCACAGTAAAGTACACTGCGTTAAGACGATTGATTTCCCCTGAAAAACTATACGCATCTATTTATGACTATATGTATCCAAAATAAGCTACTCTTCTCGCTATCTTGGTTTAGACCCTTTATTGTTATGTGCTCTTTTGACTTCCGATGATACCGATATTTATCTAAGGCTCCATTCCAAAAGATAGAAGCAGATTGTGTGATTTAAATCATGAAATACCCCTTCGGGAAGCCCAGCAGCTCAAATGCCTGGAAATTGAAATCGGATCCACTGATGGCTCATTAAAAGTGGTGTTTAGATTGTGCGAAGCGCATGATCTATTTTTAGCTCCCTAAACGGACGGGCGAGATACATGGGCAAACGAGCCACCAGTGACTCTTATTCACTATACCTCAGATACGCCCGACTCTTATCAGAAGCCGAGGGTCTGATGTCCAAGGAAATTTGCCAGAGCATCGCCTGGGGATAGAAGCTCAGGATACACCGATGGCGATCGCCGCGCTATGGAGTTTGTCTCCCATTATAGTGTCTCCTTATCTAAACCCTACTGCAAAGACTAAGGCTAAGCCAACACCACCTCCTTCACCTTGGGGTACCCTCGACATATACCATTTCGTAGAATAGGAAACTTCTTGTCTACTAGACCCTCAATCCCTTGGGGCATCGTTTGAGCGCTGTGGTTACCTTACACGCCGATTCCTCAAGTTAGGAAGTCAACGTCAGCAGCCCTACAAGTCCCGCACAGAAAGGTCACGGAAGCCCCAAGTTCATAACTTGATATACCCGATCTAGGCCTCATCCTAAATATCCTAGTACAGTTCCGCCAACCGAAAATGTATGTGACAATGGAGGTATTTTGCTAACAGCAGGGTCGCTTCCAATCAACACCATAATATATCACTTCAATCCTTCCTCATTTTGATCACAAAATGCTTAAACATGCGTGACACAGATTCAAACACCTGGTTGGAAAATTAAAGCCCAGATGTATCTTCTGGTGAAATTGATTTCGTCGAGACAATTTTCCTCTCTGAAGAGATTTTACAAGGGTAGTGACCTACGCGATACTATGACGTTTGGACGTCGTGAGATGGTAATAGGTACGTAGTGGCTATACACAGAGGTTACGCTATACGATTAGAGGCGGGCCTTCTTGGAGATCCAAGATAAGTTGTAATGGGAATGAGAGTCCTAGATGCTTAGTTTCCTTTCAGACATAGTTTCATACAATGTTGAATGTACAAGATAGTTCACCAACTGGGCGGAATGCAATACTTGTGCCAATGCATCTCCGTATCAGCATCCTTAAACCTCTCGATTTTGTCAACCACTCCATCTTCTCCAACCTCCCACTCACCAGCCTCCACCATCTGTGCCCAGCGTAGCAGTACTTTGTCTAACTGAACCATACCGCGATCACCGAAGCCATTGAGCCCAGACTGGTAGAGGCTCGTGTCATCCCCTTTAGGATGGGATTCGATATCGTCTATCTCTAACCCTGTTTGAGCTCCATCGCTAGTCCGAGTCCATCCATTTTTCCCCACCTTAAAAGGCAAAAGAAGATAACATGTGTTCGAAAAGGCACGGGTTGTTTTTGAATGAATGCTTTCGATATATAGCCCTGCCGGGAGCTCTGGAATACTACTAGGCGGCGGGTAGGATGGTGGAGGGGGCGGTGGCGAAAGAGGGTGAAGGTCACGGCCAACGCCTTTCTTATTATCAGTATAGAAAAGAAGTACTGGTAGTGATGTTGGATCGTCTGTTGGGTAAGAGCCGAGGTAAGGCTGGGCGGTGAACTCTGAAATAGTTGGTAGTCTGATTCCAGGTGCAATATAGCGAAAGGGTATCTTTTGTGGAGCCAGGCCCGTGAGAAAATCATGTATGAAGGTTTCTGGTGGTATATCAATTGATGTAAGCAGGTCTGGATCGGACCAAGGATTGTAGGAGTTAGTAGCTTCACGGGCTGGCTGGCGGGCCTGAATAGCATCAAGCAGCTTTCGCATAGCGGACAAGGCTTTATCTACATCGACTTTGGTATATGGATGGAGAACCCATGGCTTCATAACCCCAGGCCACCTTGGAAGGTTAGGGCCCATCAGGGTGACTTTGCCTTCGTCGATCATGTCAAGATATGCATCCAGAATGACCTCCAGTGGCTTGAATCCCCAGCCGTGAATACATATTGGAGGCTCCTCAAACATATAGCCTATGAAGGCTGCCAGAGATTTTTCCTGGTCATACCTAATATTATCACTCATTAGCTATATTGCATCTTATGAACAACAGTGCCTCGGTTCTCCTACACAATGCCCCTTTCGTCGCCCATGTTATATCCCGTGGTACAATAGAGCCACACGAATCGACCGGGGTACAATTCCTCCACCCAAGTCTCGAAGAAGACATCGGGGGTATTGAGGCCACGGATCCAGTAAAAGAGAGCAGTACGGTCCTCCAGATTCTTAGGCTTATCCTTAGGCTTGACAAATGCCAATTTTAAGAACGCAATAAGAGAAGGGTCTAAGGTTTCTGCAATCTTGTGTGATGGCGAAAAATACTCCCACCAGGTAATGTGTGGCGATGGACAAGATTCTCTCCATGACAGGTGATAGAGCTCATTATGCAATGCTGCACACCGCTCATAATCCATACGGCCTAGCTTCCGCACTGGATTAGACGGGGTGATGCGTGGTCCCATTGACATCTTCAATAACCTGATTTTAGAGATGAGTTGATAAAATGAGACAAATGATGGAAGGGGAGGCAGGCGATATATAAGCGATTATGTCCCACTTCTTGGCAAAGATCGCGCTAATCTGTGCCATGCTACATTAGAATAAATTTGTTTTACTTTTGCTATTGATTCAATGGGAACCTCCATGCATCCCGTGCCCATATCCTTCTTCCATGAATTAATAGCTCCTCTATCCTTAGCACATCGCAAAGATTGGGCGCTATAGTTGTTTTAAAATCTCTCACAGCTTAATACTGACACGAAGTATTGATAATCGGCACGTCAGCCATCGAGTATCCTCAATGTGAAGCTCCAATATACCACTCCGGTTCACTGGATAGATTCACAGCCTAACACAATCGCCAGAATAACAGGAACCCCGACCACAATACTCCTCTGTACTTCCGCAATACCCAGATACTGAGCAACATTTACCAAATTGAGTGCCAGTGCATGTCTTATTCCCGGCAAAGCTGGGCCCGCATTCGCCATTAACACTCGGACCACCATTATCATCATCACAATCTCCCGAGAAACAGACGCCAGGAGCGCAAAACTCTGACCCACTACCACAATAACCATGGATAGAACAGCACCTGTATGATTGGTTCAGTTAGCATCTAATCAAATTCGAAATAGCGGTCGTTGAGGATTAAACATAGATGCTTATAGAGGGGGTTCCTACGAGCCAAATCTTGGATTGGTACACGTCGCGTATTTCCATTCAGGACCACAGGTTCCATCTTGGGTAGCAGTGTCGCCTCCTGCATCGCACGCTCCGGAGACGCAGTTCCCTGGACTGCAGTACTCTGGGGTATTGCCACAATATCCGCCTATTGAGCAGCATCTACTCATAGAGTCGTAGCATGTCAGTGGCAATGGCCTTACGTTGTGCTCAGTCTAGCTTTCCGTATAACTCACTTTCCAAATGAGCTTCCTTCACAGGCGGTGTTCCCATGGGATGGGCCACATGTGCCATCTTCTGATATCATTGTTTTGGTAACTGGAGCAACGCAAACATCGTAATTCAGCCATAGGTTGGTACAGTTATTCCACAGCTAGAGAAAAAGACCTCAGTAAGTTTCATACATCCCTCCATATGGGCATGGATTAAACTCACGTAGTTATTCATGGTCTGGAATTCAGTGAATGTGATTCCACTGTGACGGGTTAATACGGTTAGGGATAATAGGTCACAAATAGAAAATGCTTACAAGCGAAGAGCCACCGTGTTACACTACCATTATGGTCAGGATTAGCATTTCTATGATGCTAGAGTAGGTCACTCACTTCATCCCCAGCAACAACCTTGTAATACCGGCCGCAGTCAGGAATAGTTCCAGGGCGAGTGGGCTCCGCCGGTATTGCTGAGCGCAAACAAAGTTATTTAGGCTGTACAGAGAAATAAATTGGTGGTCAGAAAAGCATTACCTGTTGTATAATATGAGCCGGCAGTAGTAGGGGCGTAGATCACCCCAGAAGCCTTGAAAAAACCACCAGGTGGACTGAAAGAAACTTATCAGGATGGCCCTTCTCTGCTAAGCAGGCGAAAAAAGTGGAGAACCCCTTACCCTTTGCAAACGCGTTGCGAGCTGTGCACCCAGCTACAAGCCCCTAGAATGTTTGGATTCCAGCTTAAGAATTGCATCTCAGATATAGGGACCTCATCAGTAGAATACCGAGCTGCTAGCTCTTCGCTTGAATGGTGTTAACAGAGAATAAAAAGTATAAAAATCATAGGCGGGGCGGTGCCTCTAGCATTCTTTGGCTTACCAGGTTGTTTTACCCCAAATAGTGTCGATTTCACAGGGTTTCGGCAAGCATAACGGGGAATTAAACTGACACTGTTGATTCTGTGTAGCTTCTATGACTGTCCCTGTACTCACATTGTATTTGTCGGATATTTCTCGGCAACCCATCCAGGATTCTGATGGTTCAATCAACTGCCCAGGGCAGCTCGTGGGTGATTGAAGAGGGGTTCCGGTGGAAGTAACTGGCATGGTGCGAGTTGAAGCAAACAAGGTAGTTTCGTAAGTCGTCACAGGGAGCTTGGTAGAGCAATACTCCTGTATTGTGGAGTATTGTTCAAGAAGGTAGTCTGTATGCTCGCCGGATGGGAGTAGGGCCGACATAAGTCGCTGTCTCCACATTTTGATGAAGCATTCGCTGCATAGCTAGACGATACCTTGTCAGGTTTATCATCAAAGTATTAATAACAGTAACATACTAGGTCTTTGTCGTAAAGCTTGGTCACATCCATCATATCCTTTGTCATCTGCGTTGTAGAGAAGTCCGGGTCTAAGCATTCTGGGGGTTCATCACCCTCATACTCATAGTAACACACTTCGGGATCCCATCTAGGTAATGTTAGCTGCCAATTGAGATATATATAGCTCAGCTGGTGCTTTTCCTACCGCATATAGTCACTACCCTGCCAGCCCTGCGAATTCACGAAGCACCAATTCGATGAGCTACATGTAGGTGTGTTAATATCTCTTACCAAGCATGTTTGACATCGCCGTTAATGAAGTATCCCCTCACCTATCCTGTAAACATACTAGGTCGTGTCCTTCCTTCCATGCCGTTGGAACAGTTTTCGCAAGCATGTAGACATCCCCGACAAACACCGTCTGGCGATCACAATCACGGTCTACAGCATTCAACCAAGACGATAGGGATGTGGCACATTCCTGGGTACACAACTTTGTTGTATTCTCCGTAGTCCAATCTAGATCCGGATTAGATCACCCATGATAATACTTTCACCACAATACCGGTGAAGGAGAAAGAAACTTGCAGTATTGGTCGGGGCTCGAGGCCGCCATGCTTCCTATCGTTTCGTCGCATAGGACTGTGCTGTTTCTAGAGACAGATGAGCTATGCGACGAGGTTTAAAGGTTTAGGATCACGTACAACGACTGAAGGCATTGTTCAGAAAGCTTGAACTCTTTCTTCAAAAGCTGCTCCTCCAATCCAGCATATACGTTGAAGGACCCTTTCACGACATGCAGCAGACTTAGATAAACGAACCATATTCCTGTGATTCCGGCAGCCTTGTCCTGATATACCATAGTGCAACGAGGGGGGTTTGTTGTGTTCTACTCCTTGGGCTTGCACTCATGCAATAACAGGGGACTTCCTGAGAGCAAAGATAGCAGAATAAACGGGGGTTACAGAGGTAAAATGAACACGTTCCTCGGTGTTTCGTGCAACGGATCGTCACTCAATGGTTTGACTTCCAGAATTTACGTAAAGCTGCATCTTCTGACAAGAACATTTGTTACTTCCCTCATACGATATTGACATCTAGACCTATAAATTTCCAAGTTTGTCACCTTGCTCCAAGGCCCCCAATCACTAGTTAATGGGGGTAGGGGCCGATAGTTGCAAGGGCCCCATTGTTGCAGCGCGACTCGCTACCCAAGACTGCATATGGTGAAGCTAGTATCTACGCTAAATTATCTACTAAGGATCTGGCCAGTGTTAAAGACGGGGGATTCCTACTGGTAAGTTGATTTTGGCCACTGTGTGAACTATACGATTCCGAATATCTACTCTATCTAATTATTTCGACTGCTGAGAATCGTCTTTGCTCTCTTTTTCTCTTTCTGACTTATTGAACGGATCCTTGCTTAGTATCTGGCTAGTTCCTCTTAGACTAGTCTAGTAGCTGCCACAGTCCCATCCAATACGCGATGTAACGATACAGAATCTTGGCACCGGAACGAGGCGGACTTAATGCATCCTGGCTGCTAGTGCAAGTTCTCAATGTAGTATCATGTTGCTTTAATCCGCCGCACACTATAGGAAATGTCTTATGGCACGGTTCGTTGGGGCTTGAAGAGTTAGCTGGCTCAATGTGAAGGCGTATAAATATACTTCATCCTCGTGGAATGAAACGTTAACCTTCCCTTTGTATCACTGTGCATAAAATATGCACTCCCTCGCCATTAGATCCCTCGTCGCAGGGCTTCTGGTATCACCATTCCTACTGACAATAGCAGTAGAACCACAGAATGCAAGTTCTCTTTATCCAGAGCTTTACGCAGTACACTCCGATTCAACACCCGTCTTCCAGAACATCACCGGAAAGACTGCCAATCCATTGGTCCGCGTTCTCCAAGGCGCCGGAGTCGGCAGAGTTCTTAAAAAGCGAGCCAATGGACTCCCAATTGGAACATGTGCTCCGGGTACACCGTGCTCGAATGGAGCATGTTGTAGCAAGGTAGCTATATCTCCTCATCTATGTCTCCCCTTTCACTACAATATGCACTTGATAAACTGACAAATCCGTTTCCATTAGACAGGAGTATGTGGATTCTCTCCGGATCAGTGTGGACAGGATAACTGCATTTCAAACTGCGACGCGAAAGCAGAGTGCGGCCAATATGCGGCTGCAGGACATGCCACTTGTCCAATCAACGTCTGCTGTTCTAAATTCGGCTTCTGTGGGACAACAGAGGTATGTATATACACACGAGTGGAAGAAAAAGGCAACTTGCGCTCACAATGCCATTGTTAAGGAATTTTGCGGCACTGGCTGCCAGTCAGGGTTTGGTGGATGCGGCCCTGCGGTCAAGCCCTCCTGTGGTGGACAGAGTGCGACGCAGCGGACAATCGGTTACTATGAGGGCTGGTAGGTTGGCTATTTAGAACCCTCATTATTCCAGAGGATACTAACATTGTTTTTCTGTACAGGGCAGCCACACGAGTTTGCGACAAACGGTTCCCATCTGATCTCGATGTCAGTGGTTTGACGCATATAAATTTTGGTATCCCCTATCAACTCCTTTCAGAGACGTATGGATGGCTCTAATAACTGCTGCATAGCATTCGCCTACTTCCATCCTAGTAACTTTGAGATTTTGCCTATGAGTGAGGAGGATGTTGCGTTATACCCCAAGTTCACAGCCCTGAAGGAAAGAAAGCGGTACGTGCATATCTAGCCAACGCCCAACCCCAGTCCCTCTGCACCTTTATCCCTTTGCACTCGCCAATACTACAATGTGCTTAATACTGTTTAGCTCTCTGAAAGCATGGATTTCGATCGGTGGTTGGGCCTTTAATGTACGTCTGTTACTAGCAGATCTTCGAATCATAAGATGTGATCCAGATTGACACTCCCAGGACGCAACTAACGCCCCTAATACTCAAACTGCATTCAGTGATATGGCAGGAAGTGCTGCCGGCCGCCAGAAGTTTGCACAATCCTTGATTAATTTTATGGCCACATGGGGTTTCGACGGGGTTGACCTAGACTGGGAGGTACGCTTTCGCATCTTCGAGTGAAATAGCTTCCTCTGCTAACTCTGTATACTCAGTATCCGGGAGCTGATGACCGTGGTGGAAATACAGCCGATACAGCAAACTTTGTCCTTCTCTTGAAAGATCTCAGGGATGCGTTTGGAGGTCAATATGGGCTGAGTGTCACCTTGCCGGCCTCATACTGGTATTTGCGATGGTTTGACCTTCCATCGATGCAAAACTATCTTGACTTCTTTAATATCATGACATATGATATTCACGGAGTGTGGGACTCAAATAACAAGAATACAGGACCATATGTTCGTCCCCATACAAACCTGACTGAGATACATCTTGGCCTCGACCTCTTATGGAGAAACAACGTTGACCCTAGCATGGTCAACATGGGGATCGGGTGGTACGGACGGTCATTTACTCTACAAGACCCGCAATGCAATAAGCCTGGGTGTATATTCTCATATGGCGGAAAGGCTGGAGAATGCACCAAGTCATCTGGTACCCTGTCAAATGCGGAAATTCAGCGCATTATTAGCAAGCACAATATTGTGCCTACGGTGGATCAAGACGCCGGGGTGAAGTGGATCACATTTGATAATGACCAATGGGTGTCATATGACGATGGTGAGACGATGCAAATTAAGATGAACGCTGCAAATCGGCTATGTCTGGGTGGAACTTTAATATGGTCCATTGATCAGGATAGTTCGACTCATTCTAGCAGTAACGACCTTGCTGGTCTAGGCCTAGCAAATGGCATTTCTGCTGAGGAAGCAGCATTAGCGAAAGAAATTTGGAAACAGGCAGATAGAACTGCCACTGTCCGTAATACATGTCATTGGTCAGCTTGTGGCGAGGGCTGTGGACCTGGATACTTTGCGGAAACATATGCCAAAGGTCAGTCTGTGGGTATCCGACGAGAAACGGCATGCCCTGGGGATGAAGTGAAAACATTATGCTGCGCTACAGGGACAAAGATTGGCACTTGTGCCTGGCACGGATGGAGAGGCGTCGGTATGCCCTGTGTCTCCAATTACTGTCCCAAAAGCATGGAAGTGATTGCGGTAAATAGTAAGTTAACCATGCGCCACTATTCTTGACTGGCCTCGCCTTCATATATGCTGACGCCGTGAAACAGCAAACTCGTACCAAGATAGGTCCGATGAGGGAACAATTTTGGACTTAACATGTAATGGTTTGTTGCCATCCCATTTCTTCTTTTTGTGTAATGCGGATTTGCTGGATGCTTACATTACACGACAGGTGGTACACAGTCATACTGTTGTTCTGGCTTTGTCTCGTCCCCTTATTTGGACCTGAGAGGCCAAAAGTCAATTTCAAGAAAGTCCATTAAAAGCCAGACTGACCCAACGTGTTCCAAAAGCCTTAGTACACTTGGTGTACTTTTAGGTATGAAGGTTGTTGTATAGACGAGCGGTACAGCTTTAGGGCACTAATAGCCTGGTGTAGGTGGACTGGGGGCGATCCCCGGGATGATGGCCGGAAATCTTGTGGGTTCCATTATTGGAAATATATGTCCAAAGTCAGACAGTACTGGTGCATCTGAAGAGTATGCCGGAATGATCGCGAATACAATCGGACAAGGAGCACTCGGACCAAACGGGCGTCGTACAGGAAAAGTCCCAAATCTCGAAATTAATATCAACCCTAAGAAACCACCACAGGGGAAGCCTCGCCAACGACTGCCTATGCGTGGGCGATATACAATGACTCAATACAAGAAAAAGGATAAAGACTGTTCCGTCACTTACACTTGTGAATATGGGCATGGCTTTGATGAGGTAATTAACTCACTCAACAGAATTTATGCGTGAACAACAGTCTTACAACCCCACGCGAATAGGTATGCGACAATCAGCGCTGGGCAATCGATAAGGGCCTTGGTGGAAAGACAGTCTATCATAAGCACATGGGCAAAAGGCCCGGAAGGACAGACAAAGACAATTGGTCCAAATTGGACAGACTACAGGAATATTATACGCTGGCTAAAGACAACCCTGACCCCAATAGTCGTGAGCGCTGTGAGCTGTAAGTACAATATGCCAAGGTCATTCCCCTCAGAAACAAAAATTTGCTGAATAGGCAATGCTAGTGACGAGTTTCCCATGGCAGCTCTTGAAGAAGGCATTAACGGCCAATACCAAGTAGTACGATTGATAAATGGCAATGCAAATGGAAATCAAGGTTAGTCTATTCGTCTCAGTCCATTATATAGCTAATTGACGTGTCACAACACAGGCCACGATTGGAATATGTGGGTATCGGCCATATATAGACCTTGCCTTCGTCTTCGCGAAGGTTTGGGCTTGCCACCACCACCAGTCACCTGGGCATTTGGCGCATTCCCTGAAGGAGACGATCGCGCCTCGGGGGTTGGGGGGCACTTCATTAAGGCTTATGGCGTATGTCTCCGTACCATCTATTGTCTTCGGATTGGACTTCTACTAATATCGGGTGCTCTTTCTCTCCCTTGGTAGTTTGACTCACAAACTAGAGAAAGCCTGTGCTGGGGTACGTTGAACTCTCTACCCTATCTCAAATCACCTCTGCGGTCCCAATTACCTTGCACAAAACAACTCTGATTTGTATGAAATATGCCAGCTACCTACACATACGCAATAAACGATGCCACATACACCTCGACTGTTTCCGACCAAGGGTTCCGCGCCAAGCTTGATGACCCGTAAGTCACCTACTTAAGCACACATCATGCCCTCATAAGCTAACGCTGAATTCTACTTAGCATGTTCAAAGCTCCATATAACTGGCCTACGTTCAATCACTATAACAAACCCCCGTCATCACCCGATAACCTTCCAAAAGACGTATTTGACTCTCAATGGTGGAAAAGAGAGGTTGCGCGAGGTGTCCTTCAGAAGGATCTACCTATATCAGCCATTTACGAAGCCGAGAAGATATCCATGGCTCTAGATGCCCAAGCTAAGGCCCGAACCCCAACCCCAACTCCAGTTCTGGTCGACCTTGCCTACAGCAATGACGTGGAAAGTCAAAGGCCTGCTTTGAACAATATGCCGGTTGAGACAGGTACTGTGGATATGACTGCAAATCAGGAAAGGCGAAAGCGTCATCTGAGGAGACATCAGATGGGGTATAAGCATAATCCATAGATTCATCGTGATGGATAGCATGATGTAGTTTTCGCCTTTCCACTTCGCACATTAGGCAACATGGGGTTCTGTTGTAATGGAACCTGATTTCATACGGGTAGATGCAATGTGACAGGGTGATATATTTCGTTGAGTAACTATGGTTGGAGCAAGGCTGATCATTATGATGCTATATCAATCAGTAAAAATTAAATCGTATCAATTCTACAATGACCTCTGACTACGTCTTTGTTTCGCGTTCAACTTCCCTTGTCTTTCCTTATCAAGACCTAACGTAGTGCTACACAAGCACTATGTACATGAGAACGACATCGAGCTTCCTCAGGAATTTATGTATGTATATATAATAGGTATAAAAGTCTTCGGGGGGGGGGGTTGGATATAGATATAATTTGCTAATATATAATCCGTCGGTATTGGTAAAGTTGGTATTTGGACCTTCTATCTGGTCCGCCGTACGCTAGTGTGAGTCCTATTATATCATGTCATGAATACGGCTGACTCCTATTAAATGCCGAACGTCTGATCTCTGAGGAAATTGGCCATAGCATCGTTAAGTGGGGGATAGAAGCTTGTGATATACCTTATAGCGGCGGTATACTATATAAGTGACCCCAGGGCAGTCTGGATCGTTGATCCAGAAGGATCTGACCTTTTAAGTCTTCTGGGGTACGGTGCCTCTTACATACCGATAGGGATTGTCTCGGAAGTATAGCATCTCTGTGTCCATCCTATCTACTTCTTCCTACTCCGGAAGCTACGGTCAAACCAACACCATGCCCCTCCAGATTCTATACGGAGAACCACCTCCTCCCCTACCTTGGGGTTCCCCCCCTCACTGGACATATACCTAATCTCGGAAGAGAAAACTCCTTGCCCATTGGAGAACTCACGGCCCCTTGAGACACCCTTGAAGCGCCATAATTGTCTCCTGCATCAATTGTTAAACTAGGTGTTCCGGGGCCGCCATATGCTCGCATAGCCTTTCCTGCTCGATTGAAGATGTATACTCGAGATTTGATCTTGTAGGTATTAATCTCTGCATATATTTCAATCAAGGCGAGATGGCCGAGCGGTCTAAGGCGGTTAGTATCACTATATCTTTACTCTCTTATCAAACATTTAACTAATAATCTCTCAGCTGGAGTAAGGTTCCAGTCTCGAAAGGGGCGTGGGTTCAAATCCCACTCTCGTCATCATCTTTTTTTTCCTTTTTTTTCTTTGCTTGCAATTGCTTCTTGCTGCTGTTAGCGTTTAGCATCTCATATCTTTTATTTTCCGGTTTTGCATTTGCACCTACCGTGGTATAAATTTATGTCTTCGACTACAACGGTACTCTATATGGACTAACCACAGCATGAAATTTGCAGGCACTTCACCACTTCATGGAATACAGTATTGGGTACGACTTTTAAATCACAATACAGAAATATATTGTCCCCAGTATGGATATCATGCATACCCAAGGCTCACTATGGTGTATCCTAAGTACGGAACACAGCATGGGTCAGATATCCAACTCGTTATTCCCGGCATATCGCCCCTATAGCTCGGTTAATAGCCTTCACCACGCAAACAACCTCTTCTATGGATGAAGTAATCACATGTCCCTTTTCATGGACATATATAGATAATCTTTCTGGGTTAAAAAACTCCGTGGTCCGCTGTGCTAATGATTTCAATGGATCCAGCAAGCCCCATATGTGCACGCTTGGGACGTCCAACCGCAGACCAAGATGACTCGGATTCAATCCCACCGTGCTGCCCTTTTCTAGCATCGTGTAATCATAGACATGGCTGGCTCCAAACAGGATCACAACTTGAACCGGTAGCCTGGCTATTTCTCCCATTTCGAGCGCCTCCTGTTTATGCTTCAGCCATGTGATTGTCAAGCACGCACCCAGGCTAAAACCAATCATGCCATCGAAAGGGCTCTCATCTTCGAAGAATCGGTCCAGGTCGTGGATTGCGCGCAAGCATGAGTCTGCCTGATAAGGATCACAGCAAGTGAAAGTCGCTTCATCTGAATGAACTGCATCTTGGTTCGCTGTACCATGGTTAGAACAGGGATGTTCCAAGATTTTACACACAGCATACATGCTTTCCAAGGGATGGCTCCTTCCACAAACTCGTACGTGTGCTGATCGGAAAGTTCGTACCGGATAGCTGCTGCACTAGTCATTAGCCACCTATGCAGATATGGGCACTAGTCACCCTCCTCATCAGGCTTACCTGTTTGGTGCTGCAATATCTGGAGTTCGAACGCCAAAGGCTTTATTAGATCATATGCTAGATACGGGTGTACAGGACATCCTACCTGCGCATGATCTCCCACACCGTGGAGGCTACAGTCGCTTTAGCAGTACCCAGTACGGCGAAGGCAACGTGATATACACATCAGAGGAAGCGCATGATTCCCTGAAAGCTCTCCCAAATAGCAACGCACCACGTCAGAGAAACAATATTGCAATAAGGGTGACAGAGGCAAGTCCCAGAGGCAGGATATTTCCAAATCCCTTCGTTCTATACTTCCCCTGGGTATATAAATACATACCCTCATGCCGCTGAGCAACGCTTGTCATTCATAGAATCCCTGCTTTCTACATGTAGACTTTTTATAATATCGTTAAGCTCAGGACTGGCGCAAGCGCTGCAAGAATATGCAAAAGAATGGTTTTGGAATGGATGTTGCGTCATATACAGGCAAAAAGCGCTCACCAAGCAGTCGACAAGGCAAAGCCACGGCTGTTACTTGTTTTGTGGTTGCACCACGTATGCGTACAGCAATCTTGATGAGTTAATTTATTGTTGAAATACTCGTTTCTATCATGGAATCAACAGCAATTTGGTGACGAACTGGCATGAGTGGAAACAAGAATCGAATGTATTAAAACTTTAGCAACGCCGAGTGGAAGAGGAGACCCAACGTATACAGTGTATGAAAGAGATTCTAAGCGTCCTGCTACAAGACACAAATATCTCTATCAATAAATATAGGAAGGCATCGGATACACGGAATCAACACACTACCATCATTTGAACGATACTGCAGCAATGAATCCTTCTCTGGAACCGCTAGCTATAACTGGGATATCTCTAAAATTCCCAGGAGATGCCGTATCTGCTGAATCATTCTGGAAATTGATCACAGAAGGCCGCTTGACAATGAGAGACTATCCACCCGATCGATCAAACATTGATGCATTTTACCATGCAGATCACGGTCGTCTTGATCAGATTTCTGCGTGTGGCGCTAACTTCTTGAGCCAAGATATCAGCCGATTTGACACTTCTTTTTCTCAATCAATGCGGCTGAGGCAGAGGCAATGGATCCCCAGCAGCGTCTAATTTTGGAGACTGTCTATCACGCTTTCGAGAATGCAGGGATGACGCTTGATCAGGCTTCAGGCTCTAAGACCTGCGTGTACGCTGGGTCATTTGGCCACGACTATTCAACAATGCAAGTCAAGGATCCCATAGACCTACCTAAGTTTTCCGCCACGGGGACTGGGATGACTATACTATCTAATAGAGTGAGCTGGTTCCTTAATCTGACTGGGCCGAGTGCTACTATAGACACAGCATGCTCTAGCAGTCTGATGGCCGTCGATCTTGCGTGCCAATCGATTTGGAGCGGGGACTCCTCCATGGTATGTCTGTTTGCACTTACAGGATAATTCTCCATTGACTATTCTCGTAGGGTGTGGCTATTGGCAGCAATGTGATAATCGGACTTGACACTAGCCTACCGTTGGATAACCTCGGTCTATTGTCTAGTGACAGCCGGTCATACAGTTTTGATCAGCGAGGCAATGGCTATGCCCGTGGCGAGGGGGTTGGTGTCCTGGTACTTCGCCCTCTCAAAGATGCCATCGATCATAATGACACTAACAGAGCAGTGATCCGCTCATCAGGATCGAATCAAGATGGACGAACTCAAGGAATAACACATCCTAGCATGGACATACAGCAGAAGCTCATTCTAGACACGTATAAGAAAGCCAACCTTGATTTGTCTCTAACAAGCTATGTCGAGGCTCATGGAACAGGTATGCTGGGCCTATGACTCGTATCCCACACTTGTCGCATTACATCGCTTAATCACCCGATGGTAAAGCTTAGAGGCTCAATATTCGAACAGGAACTGCCGTGGGAGATCTCATTGAAGCACAGGCAATTGGATCTGTTTTCCGACACCATAGAACATCGATGATCCCATATACATGTGTGTCTTTTTTATTAATATCAATACTGCATACTGATAGAGAAAGTAAAGAGGATCTGTGAAATCCACAATCGGTCACCCAGAGGGTGCAAGTGGCATTGCGGGTGTCATTAAAACGGTGATTGCTCTCGAAAAAGGAATAATCCCCCCAAACAGCGATTTTCAGCAATTGAATCCTAGGAACGACGATGTCTATCTCCGTATCAAGGTGGCAGACAAACAGATTCCCTGGCCTACAGACGGCTTGCGGTGAGCCTCTGTAAGTTCGTTTGGGTTTGGAGGATCAAACAGTCACATAGTGCTGGATGATGCCTATCACTCTTTGCAGGCTAGTCATGCGAAAGCAAACCATAATACAACCGTGTACGAGTCGAATGGTTTATCAAAACAAGGAATATCTTCACCTATGCTGCTCGTTCTATCTTCCACTGATGAGGATGGCTTTTCGCGCCTCAAGGATGCCTTGGGACCATTTTTCTCTTCTCTTAACACACCTATCACGGAGAAGCAACACTTGCTTAATAATCTCGCGTACACTTTGTCTCTTCGTCGAAGTCATCTTTCATGGAGAACATTTGCCGTTGTTTATCCTGATGATGACTGGTCACATCTGATTGACAATCTTGGCGCACCTCAGCACACTATAAATTCCCCTAATTTAGCATTCATATTTTCTGGAGTACGGAAAATCCCTCTCTCAAGTTATACCTAACTGACATCTGACAAATTTTAGAAAGGGGCACAGTGGTATGCTATGGGTCGGGAGCTTCTTGACGCTTACCTTGTATTTCGCGAGAGTATCCGGGCAGCTGGGGCTTATATACAGACCTTCGGTTGTCAGTGGGACCTAATAGGTAAGAATGACACTACTACCCAGTAATAGGATGCAATGGCTTACATATCGCAGACGAGCTACGCAAGGGAGAGGCAGAGTCTAATGTCAACAAAACAGAGTACAGCCAAATTGTCTGCACGGCTCTACAGATCGCCCTTGTTGATCTCTTACATCATGTAGGGATAGTTCCTGAGGCTGTAGTGGGACACTCGTCAGGTGAAATTGCCGCGGCGTATGATATTATATTTGATCCTGTTTTATGGCCAGGTGTCTAACATTTTATTCAGATACTGTGCCCATGCCATAACCCGAGAGTCTGCATGGAAGATTGCCTTTTACCGCGGATTATGGACCAGCAAACTGGAAAGGTTCAGCAGTATCAATGGCGCAATGCTTGCTGTTACTCTGTCGCCACAGGCCATCGCACCATTTTTCAAAAGAACGTCTACCCACTACTCTGCTTTAAGGCTAACTGTTGCATGTATAAATAGCCCCCACAGTGTAACGGTATCTGGGGAACAGCAGCAAATTGACACGCTGAAAGAGTACCTTGACAAGTAGCAGATATTTGCAGAAGGTTGAAGGTTAGAGTGGCTTACCATTCCTTCCAAATGAATGAGATTGAGACACAGTACCACCAGGCCATGGGTCTGGTAGAAGGAACAGACCATAGAGGCAAACGTCCAAACATTCTCTCTTCTGTGACTGGGACCTGGATCTCACATAGTGAGATGCGGAGTGCCTCATATTGGGTGCAGAATTTGGTTTCAACTGTCAACTTTTGTGATGCTTTGAGTACATTCTGCTCAGATACCACTGATGTGGCTGTTAAAAAGCTGGATGGCAGTCACCGAAACGCATTAAGAATGCGCCATCTGCTTGATGTTGGACCGCACTCAGTTTTACAGGGGCCCGTTAAGAATATCCAAAAGGGAATCAGGGGATCCGCAGCCACATACCACCCACTACTAGTGAGGGGGAAATCGGCCGTGGAAACCTTTCTACAAGCTGTCGGTCACTTATATGCTTCTGGGTACCCGACTATCATGTCTCGCGTGAACCCATGCTCCTCAAAGCAGGAAAAGCCAATGTGCTTACCCTCTCTACCCGAGTATCCCTTCAATCATAGTAGGTCCTATTGGCATGAAAGTCAAATCAGCAGAAACCAGCGACTTCCAAAGGTTAACAAAAACGACCTTCTTGGCATGCCTGAATCGAATTGGAACCCCTTGGAGCCACGCTGGCGGCATATAATTCGGGCTTCTGATCTGCCATGGATCAAGGATCACCAGGTTTGAAGATTGTATAATACCAGTATTGAATGGATAGCTGACAACGAAAACTAGGTTTCAGGCACAGTCATATATCCTGCAGCCGGCATGCTTGTCATGGCGATAGAGGCTGTCAAGCAGCTTGCAAGTCGCGAAAGGGTGATCTCCCGGTTCAAGTTTGAAGATACAGCAGTTCTTGCCACCATCCGGATTCCTCCGGGGGATGGTGGAGTTGAGACGGCCTTTTACATGCGACCACAGGAAGCCATAGAGACCAAATCTTCCCAATTATTTTCCTTCACATTGTGCACATATGTGAATGAAATTTGGCTGGAGAATTGCCACGGGCGCATCCATATTATGTACAAGCCCGTTGAACCGGATCCAGTCAATGGGAACAAGGTGGAGCGGGAGGATCTTGCCGATTCGCTAAGTTGTTTTTCAAAGGCACGAGAGAGGTGCACTTCACTCGTTTACCGCGACGTGATATACCATCATCTGGCGAAATGTGGCTATGAATTCGGCAAGGCTTTCAGGCAGATACACACCCTGGCCACGGGTGGAAAAAGCGAACACGAAGTCGTTGGAGATATGAACAACTTCCAAGTATCTACGCAATATATAATTCACACTACTACTCTCGGTGGGATTCTCCAGACGATATCATGGTCTATGACGAAAGGAGGCACAATAACAGTTCCTGGCGTTGTGCAAACATACATCGGGTGTATGTGGGTGGCTGGAGAGAGTTCCGCATGCAACATCCTCAAGACCCACACAGTGACGGAGACTTCGGCAAATGGCACATTGTTGACATCAATAAAGGTATTTGACCAGGATCTCCGCGAGGTCATAGTGTCTATCGAAGGACTAAAATCCACCGCCACAACTTCAAAAAGCTATGCAGAGAGCACGAATGCTGTAGATGACCAGCTGTGTCATTATTTTGAGTGGAAGCCTGATATAAACCTTCTGAGTAACGAGGAAATCCACGCCTTGTGCCAAACGGCATATCCGAATTTGTCCATACCCAAGGACTTCCTCGTTGAACTTGACTTCCTAGTGATGTTTCGAACCATGGAAACGTTGCCGGTCATATCAGAACGCGATATCAAACCCCAAAAAACCGCACCTCAGGAAGTATATTGACTGGATGACGCACCACAAGGGACGACTCCTGAAGGGAGAGCTTATATTCTCTACGGAGCCATGGAAGAGTCGATTTAGCGATTCAAAATATATCCAAGGGGTTGAGTCACGGGTGATGAGTAAGAGTAAGCAGGGCAAGCTGCTTGTAAAGGTGGCACGACACTTGTTGGAGTTCTTGAACAATGAGCTGGACCCATTGGCATTATTTTACCAGGATGACATGGCCAAAGGCTATTATGCTGAACTGGTGAGACTGGTCGTATCCATTGGCTTGCATCGTTCTAATGCTTATTTCATGTTGCTTTAGTTGGAATATTCGCACTGCTTCAGGTACTTGGAGAAGTATGTTGATCTGCTAGCCCATTCCAATCCGCAGATGAATATCCTTGAGGTTCGCGCTGGGACAGGATGTGCGACCGCGGCCTTATTACGTATTCTCAGAAACGACAATGAGCAGAAGCCAATGAACCCTAAATACGCACATTGGGAGTATACGGATATATCACGCTTGTTCTTGGGTGACGCTGCGAAACATTTCGCCTCTGAAGGAAGTCGAATGGCGTTCAAATTGCTACACATTGAGGAGGATCTGGCAGATCAAGGCTTTGAATATGCAACATATGACCTTCTTCTTGCTTGTATGGTACGGGCTCGCCTCACATTGAATATATTCCTTGGCCAGCCACTAATTTTCGACCTACCCAGGTATTCCATGCTACTTCAGATCTGACCAGGACATTGACTCATGCTCGAAAACTGTTGAAACCGTAAGGAAAATAATCAACCTTTCCAGATTCATGTTTCGCTAATCGCATAAAGCGGTGGGAAATTGATACTAGTCGAGCTGATGAATGCCTGCGCCATTCGCTCTGCTGCAGCTTTTGGCCTTCTCGATGGATGGTGGTTTAGTTAGTAATTTGATGCACTGCTTGCGTTGTTGATCTACTAACATGAACAGATTCGGAGCCATACCGATCTCTTGGTCCATCTGCAGACGAATCCCAGTGGAACAGTCTACTGTTATCCACTGGTTATGCCGGTTGCGAGATCTTTTCCCCAGACTATGATGATCAGACATGTCATGAGATTGCAGTCATTATCTCTACAGCCACACAAAGCACATCTCAATCAGCCTCTGATCAACCCATTGACATTGTGTATGAACCCAATGATCGTGCGCAGCTAGGCCTAGGACGAGCCCTTGCCCGTCATTACGCAACCCAAACCCAGTCCGTCAGGTTAATCCAAACCAGGATGCAATCCCCTCATCTAAAGTGACACTGCAGGTCTTCCTCTTGGAGTACCAAAAGCCGTTGCTGTATGATATTAGGGAGGGATTGTACAATAGGCTTCAAGCTCTTCTACTTTCGACTGACCCTATACTATGGGTAACTAGCGGAGGTGGGAAACTGTGCTCACAGCCGAAGTCCCACCTGATTGATGGGCTATTTAGAGTACTGCCAGAGGAAGACAGAAACAGGTCTCGCTACGTCCTTGCACTTGATCCTATGGAAAATCCGGAGGTCCCTCACTATGAGGCCATCGCTAAGCTTACCGAACGGATTTTGAGTGCCACCGAGGTTATTGATACAGAGTATATTGAGTCTAACGGGCTTTTGCATATTCCCCGATTAACTGTTGGTCCTGTTCTGAACAAAGCTGTCTCCGACAGGGAACGAGTAGATGCAGAAACGAAGCAGAAATTTGGTTCCGGTCCACCACTCAAGCTGGACGTATCCTCACCCTGCATGTCAAATGGGTTCAAATTTATTGAGGACTGTTCTGCACAACGGCCCCTCAGACCAAACGATATCGAGATCCAAAACAGATCGGTTAGAATCAACTTTCGTGATTTACTGGTGTCACTAGGCCAACTCGAGTCCAACCAGATGGGCCTGGAATGTGCTGGTGTTGTCGTCCGTGTCGGGAACTCATGTAGAAGGATCAAGGTTGGGGATCGCGTTGTTGCGCTGCATTCCTCTGCTTTTTCTACCCTCGTACGCATCCCAGAGAGAGGCCCGGTGGCAGTTATTCCCACAGGCATGTCATACGCAGATGCAGCTTCCATTCCAGTCAGCTTTGTTACATCCTACATTACACTGAGACAGGCCGCCTCCCTGCAGAGCGGAGAGTCGATACTAATCCACTCAGGGGCTGGCGGTACTGGGCAGGCGGCTATTCACATTGCACAATACCTCGGTGCAGAGATATATACGACTGTCTGGTCGGAAGCTAAAAAGCAACTCCTTATCGACACGTACGGCATTCCTGAGAACCACATATTCTCCAGTCGGTCGACAGGCTTTGCGAAAGCGGTAATGTGAAGAACCGCTGGAAAAGGCGTTGATGTGGTAATTAATTCTCTATCCGGTGATGCAATGCTGGCTTCCTGGGAGTGCATCGCAGCATACGGTCGCTTTATTGAAACTGGAAAGCGCGATATCCTGTCGAATAACAGCCTGCCCCTGGGCATGTTCGCTCGGAATACCACGTTCAGGGGGTTCGATTTAATGGGGATGATGATGGACCGCCCCGACATCTGTTTATCGGCTCTGGAAGACATACTGTCGCTGATGTCAAAGGGTATTTTGCGACCTGTGCAACCACTTACAAGCTATGGGATTGGTGAAATTGAGGCTGCCGTCAGATTCATGCAGACAGGGAAACATCAGGGAAAGCTGGTACTCGAAATTCAAATGGATGACATGGTCATGGTATGTACAGCATTTCAAACGGGTCAATAGCTGCTAAAGTCGCACGATAGACTGTTTTGGATAGAAAGCCTAACTTCACCTGTGACGGTAGCGCAACATATGTCATTGCGGGTGGTCTCGGTGGTATTGGCCAAAGCATCGCAGCCTGGCTTGTAGATCGCGGCGTCCGAAACCTCCTCCTGTTCTCACGGTCGGGGGCCGAAAGAACCGAATCGATAAAATTTATCAACTATTTACACTCAAAGGGTGCTAGGGTTATTGCTCCAGTTTGTGATATATCGAATGAAAGTGCCTTGAGTAGAGTGCTTGAGGAATGGCAGTCTCAACTACCTCCTATTAAGGGCTGTATCCAGGCTGCCATGACATTACAGGTTCGTCAATGTAACCCTATCTATGTTCCTATTCTTGCTAACACGAGCTAAGACTGCACTTTTGAGGATACGTCATACAAAGACTGGGAGACAGCAGTCAAGCCGAAGGTTCAGGGCTCATGGAATCTTCACTGTCTCTTGCCCAAGGGAATGGAGTTCTTCATTCTACTCTCGTCTCAAACAGGCATCGTTGGCGCTCATGGTCAGGCTAACTATGCCGCGGGCGATACATTTCAGGATGCCCTCGCGCGGTACCGAGTGAACCAGGGCGAAAGGGCTGCATCACTAGACCTAGGTCGCATCACTTATACTGGGGCTGTGGCAAGCAATCAGAAGCTTTTGCAACGATGCCAATCAAACTCAGTACGTGTACCCGTGACAGAGGCTGAGCTTAAAGGCTTGATCGACTGCTACAGTAGCCCTTTGCACGGTTATGAGCTAGACTGTCAACCAATAATCGGAGTGTATCCCAGAGTCCGAGAAAGAGGCTCCGGGACACCCACATGGCTAGAGAAACCACTTTTCAAGTGCATGACACTGGACAATGCATAGTCACAAGACCTGAACAGTCGAGGACAGAATTTCCAGGTTGCAGCAGCCATTAGAAATGCCCAGTCTTTGCCAGCCGGTAGTCAGGCCGTAACAAGGGCTCTAACTGCTAAACTATCCCACGCGTTGGCGTTGGACGAAAAGGAGATTAATCCAGATAAACACCTAAGCAAATATGGTGTAGACTCGCTCGTCGCTGTAGAGCTTCGTACGTGGTTTGCTGGGGAGCTGAAAGCCAATATTGCTATCTTTGATTTCATTGGCAGTACGGGTGCGACAATTGCACAGTTAGCAGCTAGCCGAAGTAAACTTCAGAAGGGGTACTCTGCGTAAAGCAGCATGTTATTCTATAGCCTGGTTTAACGGTATTAATTTGTTTCAGATTTTCTGTTACATTATATGATTGCTTAACGTCCCACTGGTGAAACCCCAATAAATAAACCATACCAATCATCCCAAGTCCAATTCAGCTCAAGACAAGTACCAACCTCTAAGTGCCATCGATAGCATACCCCAGCACTGTGTAGTAAACCCCCCCCAAGTAAAAAAAATAGTTGTTGTCAAGATAAATAAATTAAATAAATTATATCCATCCAATATATTTCACTAATGTGCATGAGACTGTGAGATCCTGGATCACAGATCTTTCTTTATTTTTTACCTTCGGCCTTCTTCTGTCAACAATATCCATGCAATTAGATCTCAATGGTAGAGGACAGGGTTCAAACATGACTCTACATACTTTGTTGTATGTCTGGAAGGTGAGATCAACTCGGAGTTCACAGCCGATCGCTGCCTCTTCAAGTTCATCCCTTAGCCTGATTCCTACTTAGTGACGTAGGTGAACATATGAAGTCGAGACTGCACGTCCTTATCACTTTGTACCTTTTAAAAAGAAAAATAGTAATTAATATCATTTCTTGAGGACTCCCTCTCTGTTAGGGTTGGACCGATCAGCTGCCAAGACCGCACTGCGGAAGGAAAGGATACGCGAGTGTATCGAGCGGAAGGAAGTTTTAGCCGACGCAGTATGTATACAGCATCTATAGAACATCTATATAAACCCGTCATGGGCAAATACTTCTCTACCCATCAAACAACCTTCAGAAACATCCTCCAAGCTTCCCTCCTTGACACTTCGTTTGAAATCCAAACAATCCTAAAATATGGCTCCCTTTCAGCTCGGTGTTGTCCTCTACGACTTCCAGCTCCTGGACGTCGCCGGTCCGGTCGACATCCTGATCGCAGGGTCCAAAACCATGCTAAGCCACATTAACCGCGATGGATTCGTGCCAGACGACTTGGTAGACCAGGGCATTGACATCAACTTCCACTATATTGCCCCGACGATGGACACCGTATCCCTCATGAACGGCTTCAAGCTGCAGCCAACCACCACCTTCGACGACTGCCCCAAACTCGATGCAATCCTCCTCGGTGGCCCTGGCCCTGAGTTCTGGAACAACATCCCTGACTCTTACCGCGAATTCCTGCACCGGAAGGTCGATGAGGTCCAATACTTCTTCACCACCTGCACTGGTGGCATTGTGGCCGCCAAAGCCGGCTTACTCCGCGGTAAACGTGCCACAACCAATAGCGAATTCCTTGATTACATTAAAAAGGAATGTACGGACACTACCTGGGAAACGGCTCGCTGGGTGATCGACGGCAAGTTCTGGACTGCGGGTGGTGCCTTTGCGGGAATTGATATGTTCGAGCACTGGCTTGAGGGGAGGAGGAGTGATGCTGTGGTTGGGTTGTCTCGGGCGAGTCTTGCGTATCAGCCCAGGGATATCAATGGTAAAGAGATTTCGGGGCCAGAGTATCGTTGGACGATCTAGAGAAATGATATTGCTTGTGTATCGTCAATAGCTAGTTGATGCGTGAATGGAGATTTTTATTATATATAACATACAGATGCTAGAAAGTGCCTCATGTGTAGCTGATGTTCCCAGGAGCGCCCACCCATTCCTCGGATGATAGTCCTGATAGATATTCATTAGTGAACAACGTCTCAAGATCAATGTCTATGTCATCAGCAGGAACACAGGTCTGATATGCATCCCAGAACTCTGTCTCTTGAATACTAGACAGAACCGGACATCGTTGCATGCTGCGGCGCGGTTCATAATTGACAGCTAATGCCATGCCTTGGTCGTAAGTTGCAGCGAGAGGAAGAGGGCAGAGTAAGTCCAAAACAGACTTGAACAAATAGAATATATCAGGAAATTCGCCGGGATTCCGACCAGATTGCGAAACCTTCTCCATCCGATTTGCCAAGCACTCCAGGTATCTGGTTAGGGTCTGGGACTCTTCTCCAACTGCCGCAACAATGCCTGGTAAACCAGCTGCAGCTGACAGAATTTCTGTTGAAACACGAATAGCTGCAATTAAGCGGTCCCATTCGGTAAATGAAAAGCGGTGATAATTCGACGTAGGGACAGATATGAAGTAGTCCAAGAAGGCTCTTGCTTTGCGCATAATGGACTGAAATTTGGGAAGATCGAATTCTAGGAGCGTCGGCTCCAGACGGTGTATGCTTGCTTCCTCCAGTAAGGAAAGAGTAAGCCGTGCGATATTAATCGAAGCTAAAGAATGAAAATATTTAGATAGATAGCCCGATGTTGTTAAAATATGAGAACGTACGGATATTCAAGGAGGGATCTGACGTAAGCCGACTGTCTGCTGGCCACAAGCGATCTGGCTTCTCAGCGCCTTTATATGCTGCTTCTATTGCCATCTGAAGCCGAATGCAAGAGTATATCATTGTACCACGGGGGCACTCTCCCTGGGATAATCGAAGCAGATAGCTTATTAGGTTGGAAGAAAGGGTCACCCTGTTGTCTCGTTTGCTTCCTGTTGCTATGCTAGTTCACGATTGTTAGAGACCTGAGTGGTCACTCACTGGTCTAGTACTTACACGGAGGAAAGGTAATAACACCCAAGACAGGCATTCAGAGCTTCGCTGCCACTTAGTGCTGATGAGCGGTCGACTTCTGTATGTGTAATATTCCCATCATCGAGCCCTAAGTCCTCCACCATACTGATAGCAATTTGGAGATACTGGTAGGACTGAAAGCTTCGTGGACGTAGATGCAAGTTGTACCTATCAAATGCTCTTTAGTATATTCCCCCTGACTTGCCTTCTTCCTGACAATGCTCACCATGCAATGTAGACAAGCAATCCTTGCAGATAGTCCAGACTTTTCTCCCCAGCGTTCACAACTCGATCAGCCAAGACAGACCGAAACCTGTTATCGAGGCTCCTCAGCAGATACATGTCATCCGAGGATGCCGCAGTAAGCACAGCAAGATACAAAAAGCGATGCTGCGCGGAGGCTATGTTACCCGGGAGAGTTACAAAAGGGAAATAGGAGCTCTTGGCTCGGAACTTGCTTAGAAGCTGATCAGCCTTCTTTTGGTCAAGCACCGGGGGTCGTAACGTCGTGTCATCAGGTATATCATCTAACAAGGTTCTAGATGATTGTTGTCCGGAGATATCGAACTTTGTCTCAAATATTTGACGATGAACGTCCACGACATTCTTGGGTGGCGGAGCGCTCGGCTGAGCATCAAACAACCCTGAAAGAACATCGCCCTCCTCTACTTTGGGTTCTTTTGTGTCTTTTACTTTGTTTGTGGCGAACCCGCATTCTAATTTCAGGGCTTGGCATCTAGCTGAAATTATTAGAATGCGAAGAGTTGATGACGCAGGCTTACTCACCGTCGACATGGCATTTGTGGAGTTTCCCTAAGACAGCGCGTCCTTTTTATTTTGCAGTGGACACATGCCCATGAGGTCCTAGGTCTCGGGCACATATATTTGTATTCCGAGTCCATGATGGTTCTTTTATGGATGAAGTTGTGGAAGGATGATCCAGAAAATTGGAGCCAGTGCTTATTTATAAACAGTGGGGGTGAGAAGGTTCTTGGCACAAATCGTCCTCTGATGTGTCATCTTGGTATGCACTTGCCACTAACGGATTCGTGCATGGAGGCCTTAACGTGCATATTATTATCGGTTTTTCCTTAAATAAAAAGACTTTTCCTGCGAGAGACTATTCAGAGCTTGAGGAAAGCTTAAGGTTTCCTTGGCACTTTACCCCAAATACAAGTATTTGCCACTACGGGATAAATATTTGGTGCATTTGAACTTCTCGACATTAGTCAACACCGAGAAACCAGAGGCAACTACGGAGTACAAAGCCACCCATTCCCTTTCGTACATCTTTCATACTTTAAAGCTTCAATTACCGCAGCGATCTAGGCATCTACAAATTGATTCAAGTTTGCTGCGTGAATAAGTGACAGGGAATCCAATCGCGCGCGCATGGGAGTAATGGGGGTTTTCTATGGTTACGGCACGAAGATGAAGGGGGCAACCAGAGAGAATTGACGGGAATAGCCAATAATTTAAGGCTGGGATACGCTGCTTTTCCGGTATCTTCCAAAGGCCATCCTGATGTCCAAGAGGCAGGGCTCGGGGTGTCACATGCCAACCACGTTGTTCGTACATTCGTTCATCTACCAGAACACACCTTGCAAATAATTTCTCGAGTGTCATATAGCCTTGATGACTGCGGGAAATCCCACTCCTCTCAGCCTTCCCAGGTGTTGCGACCATAAGGGTCACGCTATGGATCTATGTTCATATGCGTCCTGTCCGTTCCGAGCCTTTTCCGAAACAGGGTCCAGCACCAAATATATATATAACTTTGCCCTATTATATTGTGGTTACCACGTTTACCATTATGATGGAAATTTTCAAGCTACGGATCACAGTCAAGTCGACATAGTACTTTACACGGACTATAGTCTATCATGAACTGCAATTCTTTTGTAAATAGAGTCATGTCGCGACAGTACTGTCCATAGTGCGAAGAGAAGAGTGGGAATCGAACTACAAGTATATAATGCTATATATATTCTTCGAACTAACAAACTAGTACATACGACCATAGGGTGTGGAGAACAGGGCTTCCCGTCCGCTCAGCCGTACTTAAGCCACACGCCGGGAGGTTAGTAGTTGGGTGGGTGACCACCAGCGAATCCCTCCTGTTGTATGTTTTCCTTTTTTTTTTTTTGAATCCTTATTTACCCAACACCCTGCCTGAGGCACTCCATTCTGCACCGGAATGTGCCCATGGTGGCCTGCTGATGTGTGCTTCTGTGCGGATGCCTTGTTGCCATCACAACTATTCGGTCTCGGATATATTCTCTGAAGCTGCGGAATATTTAGTCACACCAAAGGACACTACATAGATATAATAGATGAACCCTTACCTCTGGATCAATGGATGCACCTGTCATATATTTGGTATATCGTTAAGTCATAGTAATTATTAGCCTGTGCATTGTACGGAGTGTGACAGCTGTTCAACATTGATGATAGTGACGCTATCTTATCAGAATTTTAGACGTGAGGAGTAAAAAAGAAAATGTCGCAGCACGCAAGGTCTATGAGGGTAGATATACCACCTTCATACAAACAGTGCAACTACTAAAAACAGAAACGATGAAGTGCGAACAATGAAAGTGTGCCTTAGGCCGTCACACGGAGTACTGTACCGTATTAGATTTATCCCATCCTTACTATAACTCTTAACGCCACTACTAGTAATGCAGCCTTCATTAATGTGACGGTGACTGGGGTGATTTCCCTTTTCAAACCTCCCACCCTGAAACACTCTATCATGAGTCTTGGAGGGATACTCAACGCATTAACACGAGTATTTGACAGTCAAGAATGCCAATACCAACGATGAAATACTTTCACATTGTGGAAAAAAGGCTGGCGACTAGCCTCATATTTCGCCCTGGATTGCTAATAAAATTATTTCGCATTGTGACATATCACATCAAAAATCAAGCCTCTTTCACTGACGGAGCCAATCGACCGTAGCAGAGTCTGCAAAAGCCTCATAGAACTCATGTTCCTCTATCCACTCCACCGCATCAGTATAAGTAGCATGTTTCGAATAAAACTCGGTTCAAATAGTATTAAAATCTTGCATTCATTAGCTGTGACTAAAGACCTGATATAGACATTCAACATACCACTCAAGGTTACTGGGCACGACGGTTGGAGGGAGAAATTAGATAACTCCTCATGAAATAGAACCAACTCCTCAGGTATGGCAGTGCCTAGGATATATTAGATAGTAGTGTGATTGGATGTAGTGAATCTACCTTTTGGAATATGAATGACCTGCGGTTCTACAGGAGAGTGCCCAGCTTCCAGCTCTTCATCATAGAGGTCATAGTCCTGACGAAGTATTTCCTGCATTGACAATGTGTTTGGCCTAAAGACTGGGCCGTGCAAATCTATTATGAGTAGTTAGCACCTCACAATCAATAAAATGGATCGTCCTTACAAGGGAATAACTTCGACATCCCAGGATAGACAAGACCATCCTTAGATACAGGTACACCGTCTCGGGGAAATCTGCCATTCTGTGCATTACAGTCAAATAGTGCCGAACCGCGTTGTAACTGAAACCGATACATCGTGCAAGGAAAGCTCGAGTGGACGGAAAGCAGGGAAAGGTCTCGCCGACCAAGCCTAGTACCAAGACCACGAGAAGGGAAGCGAAACACGATCTTTTGCGTCAACATCATGGATGAATTATTTAAACTTGTGCTGATAGATGTGTGGGCAGTATGGGCGGTATGCTGGAGCTTAACAGGAATCACAATGAAGATGTCAAATTTCCTCCCTTTGTAGGAGTATAGCCACAGAACCATCTTTATGCCTTACTGCCTGAGGCACAAGGCCAAAAATTGCCAGCCTACCGAACTGGCGTATATAATACACCCTATAAATAGCAGTTATGAACCTGGATGCTGGACCTTTGCGGCGTGGAGATATGCGGGTGTACAGCTACGACAAAGGGTAATGGATAAGTGAAATCTCGCGGTCATATTATCCACATCATCTCAAACTCTCTATGCAGCCTGTTTGTGCAAAGATTAAATCACATTGGCTTTGCTACACAGACTGCGACGTGTTGAGCTCTCTGAACTTCTGCAACAAATGCCCTGCTTCAGTATGCATGATTACCTTCAACCATCCTATATCGTTGGGGTCGATGGTGAACGTCTTCATGCCTATTCACCTGAAAGCCGATTTCTCCGGACTGACCAACACAGCACTGCTACATGTGGTCGCACACCAGAAAAAAGGCGCCAGCTGCCCCCGGCCAGCGAACGACTAGCACACATGCTTGTACAAATATCATAATCACAACCTGGAACCATATCGGGATACAAGGCTAGTGACCTGTGCAAAGTAGCCTTCACAATCAGACACGCGTCAAGTATTCGCACAAGGAGGAGCCGCAGCTGCTTCTCACTATGATGGAATATAACGTCGCATTCCATATTGGAATTTCCTGTGGAGCAAGGAATGCGACATGACCTACACCATCGTCTCACTTCTTGGAGACGCCGGTGTTACTCTGCGGCACGGGACCTATCGAGGCCGATTCGGGTCGGGAGTCGAATTTCTCGTACCCAGTTCTTGAAGATAAACAGCCATTAAAGAGAATCAAGTTGCCAGCTTAGCCGATTCGCTGCTTCCGCCTCACCCAAACCTCCTGGTCGGGGCCATCGGAAGACTCGTCCTTTGTATGGGGTTCACGCAGTTGCACTTCCCATATTTTAAGCTTGTAGTTACCACGATCACCCTGTCCAGAAAAGAGATCAAAGGACCAGCCATGCTTGGTACATGTGACCCCAGCACTGAGGGTGATGCCAAAGTCTTCAATATCAAAGAGGGTGCCCTGTGAAAGTGGGAATGACGAGTGAGGGCATTGCTGGAAGGGGTCAGTTTAAGATAAAGATTATGTGCTCGTCTCACTTACATGGTCAATGGCATGAACCTTGCCTTTGTATTTGAACACAAGCACCTGTTCCTTCAAATCTCCTGGGAGATCAATGTCTGCTTCGACCGGAGGGCCGACATTTGTCTTGGGGATGTTGAAGGCTTTGCAACTGGGGGCAATCCGAGAGCAGTCTTTGTCCAAGTCAAGGTCGGGAAATTCGGAAACAAGGCCAACCCGGTGCCAGGTTGCTTGAGACCGCTGTATGAAGGGGTTCATTGCGGGTCTAGTAAACGGAGGCTCTCTTGTTGTGTTCGCGAGTCGCGACATCGGAAAGCGCAAGCTTGGCTGATTGTTATCGGAAAAGAGAACAGTGTGCACGTGATAGGTTATGCCGTGCATAACGTCGAGCACCATCGCGAAATCCCATGGTTGATAAGCGTTTAGACACGGCATTATCGGGGTTATAATATTACCCGGGTCATATCTGCCTCATTGCCTCGGCCCGGAAAACTAGAGAACTACTTACGGAGTAGCGAGACCCATCAGCCCACCACAGATATCCTGACGAAACACTGAAGTGAAGGTAAAAATAGAAACCACGGTAAATAAGACGGAGCACCACTCTTATGGATAGAACACTGCATGAACATAGTTTTCGAGCTAGCGCATGTCATAAGATAAACTCTAGCTGCGTGGGGATCCACATTTACAATAGACTTTAAACATAAAGCAGCCGGGCGACCGTTGTATGCATGAAGTATGTACATAGTAGGATTTTACTGACGAATATTGCTGTAGACGCATGGACTGTCCCCATTACAACCTCAATATATTGAATTCCGTAGAGTAGCCACTAGTTCCCATTTAAAGACTACAGCCACATATTCGCTTGGCTCTCAACGCAGCCGTGAACAATTCAATTAACTATGGCAAAGGTATAAGGTAAGTACAGGGTAATAAGCGTAAATTGATATCGTTTAAGACGAGGCACAGGAACATGTCCATGCGAAGAGTATTGATGGTCCATCGCGGCCCTCCGGAACACCTCGTACTTCTGATCCTGCTAGTCCATATAAGAATACAACACCACCTCTACACCGCGATTTGTTCTGTGATTACTCGTAGATACCTCTGCATCTGGGCCATCGCCACCATGGGAGATGGGAGATTCAGCACTTGCTGTGTCGAAGTGGGGTTTGCTTGAACTCGGGTTCCTCCGCTTTACTTGACACCCCTCACTTTGCTGACTATATCCTCCTGGCTCGTCAAATTATCTAAATCTTGATCCTTCACAAGGTTCAAGAACCGAAGAGAGATTCCTTGTGCCTGAAGAAGGCTACCGATTTTGGCGACCCGCTGACAAGTATCCTCCAGTGGATAGATGCGATTACCATTTTGCATCGAACTGCTGTCAATTGGCCCGCACTATCAGCTTCAGATCAAAGTATCTACAAGAAGGGAGAAAATCATGATAGTGAACAGGAAAACGCAAGAGAGAATGCTTGGTTTTAAGAGAGTAAGAATGCCATTTAGTGTTAGCAGCTACCAGTGTGTTTGGATGGCATGGACTGGAGCTCAACCTGGCGACAGAACATATGGAGGGGCTGCGACCGACAAGGCAAACCCCAGCACTGAAGTCTTAACCGACAGAGATAACTTCATCAACCGCCTATCCGAATTTCCTGACACCGATCCATTACGCATAGACAGCTTGGGAGGGCACAACGTGCTTATGGATATGACCATTAATAACAATTGCATGCAGCTTTTCCTGTTTCTGCAAGATGTCCAGATCGGACAAAGGGTCACCATCCACCAGGATCACATCCGCATAGTATCCTGGTGCCACCTTGCCTAATGCGTTCGGGTAGCCCATCATCTCCCCTCCCAACGCAGTGGCAGCAATAATACTCTCCATTGGAGTATACCCAAATAAATCCACAAGATGTTTCAGATCTCTAGCATACGTCCCATGCGGAGCCCAAGCAAAGCCATAGTCACCGCCGGGCATGACACGAATTCCCCGCCGGCGCATCTCTTGCATCGCCTTGCAGGCTGTGTCCACCTCATACTTCAAACCTTTCTTTGCTGCGTCTTCGGCAGTCATACCGTACGGAGTTGCCTCGCCAGTGCATGTGGTATAGAAGAAGTTCAGAGCTGGAGCAACCCAAACGTGCTCCTTCCTTTGCTCTAGCATGTCCATTCCTTCTTCGTCGATGAAACTGGCGTGATAGATAACGTCAACCCCAGCTTGGAGGGCAAACTTGACCGACTGAGCACTTCTCGCGTGTGCACAGACACGTTTGCCCCGGTTATGGGCCTCGTCTACTGCCGCTACTGTTTCTTCCAGAGTGAAATACGTTTCCGTACTGGGCATTGTGGGGTGGATATCATCGCCACTCATGCTCAGCTTGATGTTGTCCGCCCCGAGCATAATAAACTCCCGAACCTGCTTCCGCATCTCGTACGGTCCGTCTGCATATCGCGAGATACCGGGTACAATTGCTCCTCCAGTGGTTGTAATCTCCGGTGCGTTCGCCAGGGTACGTGGACCTGGAATCATACCGGACTTTATGGCACCTTTGATGGCGATATCGAGCCGAGGTTGAGCTGATGCTGCGCCAAAGCACATCGTATATCCGCAGTCGAGGTAGGTCTTGGCCGACTGAGCTGTCGATAGGACATGTTCTTCGAGTGGTGCGCTGGTAAGCCCGTCCAAAGTAGGTGAATTATTAAAGCTTAGATGGGTATGGGCATCCATTAACCCAGACATTAGCGTTTTCTTGCCTTCGCCGTCGATCACCAACGCACCGCGGGCGGCTGAGTCGCTGACATCGCCCACGGCGGCGATACGTTCTCCTTCGATTAATACGTTTCCTTCGTAAGGAGCCCGGCCGGTGGAATCTAAAATGCGGACATTGTTGAACAGGATCTTGGACGGATCGCCCGGTCGGTGGTTGTCAATGGTGATATCGGCTGGCGTAGGCCGGTAAGGTTGGTCAACCACAATGGACCCCATGGTTATAAGATATTTTGTCTGACAGAGAACTGGAAACCGTGTTCTCAGCAAGTAGGCTGGGTGGGATCTAATATTTAATTGTCAAATTGAATTTTGATTACACATCGTTGCAGCGATCAGGCGGGGCTGCATTTAGTTGCATTGACCGACGTCGCGAATCGTGCGTGAGGATTACCTGGACAACGCAAGAAGTTCTCCACAGCGCCTGTCACTGCATGTGATATGATATTAAACCGGGTTGTAAAATTGATCCTCGGGCTATACCTTTTAAATCTCCCATTCGTTGTGTTCCGCGCCATGCTGATGGTTACTTTGCTGAGCTTAGCTGGGGCTCGGGGGCTTTAACTCTATTCTGCCTTCTTAGAACTGCCCCAAAATTGAGGGATCGGCATCAAGAATCAGTAAAACTTGGTCTCTATATTACTCTCACTGCGTCTCTCTTGGACCCCGCATATGTTTGGCACCAAAGCTATATTTTGCCTGGAGTCATGTGGATTCTGGGAGGTCGGCTGGCAGGTCACGTCGCTTAATCGTCTCGTTACTTTGGGGGAGTACGATATAGAGAGCGATAATAATGTTCAAAACTTCAATGCATTCTGCTCTAGAAGGGTTTGCTGCTGTGATACAATTCAAGAAGTTATCTCCCCCCCCTGAAGCGCAATATCACTAAGCTATAGGTACCCGAATTACTACTAATTATCGATATACCTCTTCATATCCTCTTTGTCTAATACTTATCTTCGGCCTTTCTTATTTCCTCTATTCCAGATATCAATGATCATGTCTCTACAAATTGTCTTCGAGATTAGGTTCTCGGCTATTAGAACCTGTTCCGCGACGCTTCACAATGGCAACTGCGGTATACTGGTCAGGTTAAACTAATTATCATTGCCAACCGACGGGACAGCAAGCGTCAGCGCAACATGGATCAGGTAATAGAGCAGTTTAAACACTCGCTTAGAGAGATCATATTCGAGTCGTTGTAGCTGTTACGTGTACTACGTGCCCAGTACACATTATGAAACCAGGGTTCGGGATATGCAGATAATGCTGAACCTTGGGTTTCACCAACAGAAAGTTCATGCGCCGATTTATCTGGACCAATGCTGTGTTTGTGTACTAAATAAATATTCAAAAAAATATAAAAACATACAACAGGAGGGATTCGCTGGTGGTCACCCACCCAACTACTAACCTCCCGGCGTGTGGCTTAAACGCGGCCAGAAGTCGGGTGGCTGCCGCCCGGGTGAGCTAGCGGGTGAGCCGCTTTTACGGTCGCGCGACCTCTGGTGAGCTTGGGTGAGTGCACAATAGATGGGGTGAGCCGCTCACCCTCTTGCTCACCCATCACCCAGTTGAAAACTCTAATACCCACTATTTGTTTTTACAAGATTGGATATTGGCTACTTGATTAGAGCTTCAAACGCCTGGCGCTCTTGGCAGCTAGCATAGCCAATGAAAAACTTGGAGTAAATTGCTGCCTACATACGTAATATATTAGCATGAGTTACCAGGCTTCGGGATTCGGAAATAGTATTGTCCATTATGACAAACAATGCAAACAATGGAACTTTTGTCTCTTGATTAACTAGTTATCTAGCCCTGAAGGGCGGGTGGGCCTGCTGATCTAAGAGACGGCTAGTTCTTGGGCTAGAGGATGTGCTCATGAGGAAGAATATTTATCCGATAAACGTAGCTGACACATCACATGGCATCTACCCGCCCCGCATACTATTCTCGATCAAAGTGAGTAAATACACTTATATAGCCCACTCATAAAGCTGATGGCCAGCCAAAGCTCCCCAGACTATAAGGCCCTTTTTTTAAGGGAATTAGAGCTGAGGAGACAAGTACGGGAACAGGAGAATCACGAACCAGGCAAACGACATTTGGAGAACTTATCCAATTCTGCCACAATCTTTTCTCGCGCCGCTTAAGTGCCGAAGATCCGTCTCGCTCAACCACGGGGAAGATACCACCGCCAACTGGGAAATGCTGTCCGGTACGTCTTCTCCCTTGGGCAGAATGTGCAGCCAAGCAACAAGACGTCTACCGCTCTGTTTGCAACTATCTACAACCGCCCGAGGAGGCTGCGGCACGGCTTTTCCCGCCGCGTCTTGAGCTTGACATCTGACTGGTATGTCAATGTGAATCTGGATCCACTTTAATTCCTCTACAGGAGCTGAGCTCCTAAGAGTCACCAGTTTGTGAGATGTTACTTCAATTTACCTGGCCAGGTCATCACAATCCTGACCTGGATAAATGAATATGACATTGACACTTTTGACAGAGAAACAGGGATAAAGTCAGTAGTTGCAGTTGTTGAAACTAGACTCTATTTATCCTAATCAATATCAAACGGCCAGATTGATCAAAGGGTTTCCTCGTCTTTCACAGGCTCATCCTCATCCAGTTCTTGATTTGTTAAAACGGCCCGTAACATCCCAGTGAATATCTCCTTATGAGCCGATTCCGTTACTTCCCACTCCTCAGGAGGCACCCATCCATCGGACGCTGTATTGAGCAGGGTTGAGAGGTCCCGTCTTAGGCCCTGTGCTGCCTCGAAAAGTTTGTATTCCTTCTCATGATCTACTAAGTCCTTTGGCGTTGGTAGAGGGTACGGACACTGGCCTACAAGTCCGAGTTCCTTCCAACGTCGAGCTGTTTCAATCATATCGTGGCGCAGTGCCACTGCCCCGTCCTTCCAAGTCCTGTAGCTATAACGAAAAGGCCGGAAGAGAGTTTCGTCTATCAGCCGAGGACCAGAGAGAATGGGTGTAAGGAACTGAGAAGAGACTTCAAACGCTTCAGCATAAATGCTATCCCCTGTTTCAATAGGTGTAGCAAAATCTGGTATCTCGTCGGAATACCAGAAAGCTGGCTCAATACTTGTCGCCTGCCAGTCGATAATGCCCGTAATGGTGGCAGGGTCGTCTTCCGAGACAAATATATTCCTTTTATGTAGGTCTGGGTGGAACAGCAATGGTATGGCAGCTTCTGCAATTCGATGATCAGTAGACATTTGCTTCAGCATAGCTCGAGCGCCTTCTAACAGAGACCGGTGTATTCTGGTTGAACCATGATAAAAAGGTTTGTTATCGATGTTAGAGTTGACTGGAGGGAGTCTTGAGAGACCTGCGTCAATGAGACCATCACAAAATTCACCAATATTGCCCCCTGAGTCTTTTGTTAGCGCCACTGTTCAAATAAATAAGATATTCAAACTACTTACAGGGTCCTTGGTTAGGCTTCACACTATGATAATATCTCTGCTCACCAACAGAACAATCCCAATACCGAGTTCCACAGTGTGCTCCAATGCAAAACTCTTTATCCAAGGGATACATACCACCAAAACCAGGAGGATTAGCGAAGTACAGACTCCCGAAGGCTGGAAACCGTAGGTCAACCAACTCTTTCATCTTTCAATAGATCGCATCTATGCACTTGACCCGCTGGTCACCGGCCATTTCAGGCCATTTCTGATGCAGCTGCACGCCTGTAGCATGTTCCATAATAATGTATTCGCTACCAATAGTATTATTGGCATTTGTAGCATCGTTGCTCCAGTCAAGAATCGCGGGAATGGGAATACTAGTCTTGGATTGTACTAAAACAAGTGTGTAAGTATTGAAAGTGTATGTTTTGTTGGCTTATACTCACGGTATTTTATAGTAGCGACTTCCGAGGCCGTAGTTAGTTTCGCTGGTCCAGCAAGAGCAAATGGAAGTCTCGCCACAACCTGCCTGGCATCGTTTAATGTAAAAACGAACACCCGGTTAAATCCTCCTTCAAGTTTCTTGCAGTTTATGATGGTGTCTGCGCCGGGAGAGACATCAAGGACTTTCTGGCAGAGTGCATTGAAGTCGAATTTAATGTAGCGAGCGGCACGTTCTGACTTGTCCTGCCGCAACCACCGGCCGCTAGAATAAGAATGAGGATCAAAACAAATAAATTTATCGGAATAAATATGGTCACGATTCTGTGGGAACGGACATTCGTCGGATGCTGAAGTTGAGACCATTGTAGAGGCTTTCAGGAGCTGAGCGCAAGAAGGTAGAAACGGAAAGATGTGATTCTTTGACCTGGCCATAACGCGGGTACAAATACGCTTATGGCTGGGAGCCAATGTAGCCCACAGGCCTCGGCTCATTATGTAGGTGCACGTCGTACTGCCTGTCTAGAGGAAGGTGATAGCCCTCTGCGCAGTGTTGACTTAATGATATTATGTGGCAGTGGAGCAAAATGGTCGAGTGAGGTTGCGTCGGATGATCATCTCCGCCAACATTCCCTGGCCAATGAGAACGCTAATAGATACCCCATTAAGCGCTAGTTCTCCACATTTGCTAGGACAAGCCTGAAAGTTTTACGCATTATTAGGTAATTAATAGCGCTTGGTTGCCAAGACGTCTAAAGCAACAATAGAAGTAAAGTTACAGATTCACTACGTCTCGGTTCAGTGGGTAGGCAATACAATCATCATCCCAACATAATAAATTTGGCTCATCATATATTTATCTAGTATCTTGAACATATCGAATTGCGTGACAAGTAAAAGAAACGAAAAATGAGTTCACCGCATGCAGAACAGGAATTCAAGCAGCTATAAATCCCAGATAGTTGCAGGTTACATTATTTAGTTATTTTGATAGGGCAAGTATATCAGTATAAGAAGTTTTTCGCGGTCTTTGAGAACGTCGCTCGGGTGTAGGTGAGTTTGGCTGGAGGGATAGTCCAGCTTCATCTGCTGTCTCGGTTGAAGTTATTTGAGTGTCCTTATCATTGTCTGGCTCGTTAAGCAGACCCGACGAATACCACTAGGAGGGATTTCGCCTAATGAGAAACGCAAGCTAGAGTTCTGCCTCTGGGAGAAGAGTCCAAACAGGCGTCTTAACTGTTTTGAGCGTGAAAAGCGACGCATGATACATGGATTATGATATGGCTGTGTCATGCTCGGAAATTAATGCTCGAACATGACTATTTGGTTGTGTTGCGTTGCTATGAACTTGATGGTTCCCTCTGGAAGTACTACCCTCAAATCAACAGACAGTACGCCGAAAAATAGGGCGGAAAATAAAGGCATCGGTTAATGTTAAAAACAATTTCTTTTAAGAGGTTCTTCGAGGGCTGGACAGTCGCAGCCCATGACCTTGGAGGTCCAGAGCAGGAGACCAAGTTCAAAAAAAAAAAAAAAAAAAAAAAAAAAAAAAAAAAAAAAAAAAAAAAAAAAAAAAAAAAAAAAAAAGAAAAAAGAAAGAAAGAAATAAATAAAAAAGAGCAAAGAGAATGAGAAAGAACCCAACACATTGTTCCAAGCCCTGCAACACATTCAAGGTGCATCAGGAATCAATCTACTACTACAAATATCCATCTAATCAGATGAAGATGCTTCAGCCTTCTGCACCTCATCTTCAGCGTAGAGTGTGAGTGCAAGCAGAATTGGGCCCAGTTTCTTCATGTCCGCGGCATTGTCAGTATTCCAAGGGCCATATTGATGCATGGTTAAGAATGACGGGTGTTCGTCATTGGCCGGCTTCTTTCGGAGATAAGACACATAACCGTTGTCGTATTCTGCAATAGTGATGAAAATCTCATGCCGATTTTGGGAAACGTGAACTCGCCTTAAATCCTATCAGTAAAAAAACGAAGAAAAAAGAGAGAGAGAACGGAGGGAAAAAACCAACAGCTTGTCCAAATTAGCATTAATGTCAATTTTGATCCAGCTGGCCATCTGTGACCCCTCTTGCACTTGGATCCGGCTTTGATTAATGAGCGCTCTGATAATAGGTTTAACCTCGATCAGGGCATAAGGATTTCCCTTGCCGTCATCAAGATACCCATCAGTCCTGGATTCAAACCTGGCTTCCTCAAATTGGGGAACAAAGGCTTTTCTGTGCAGGGTCCAGTCACAACGTTTGATCATGGGAAAGTGAATCGTAAGAGAATTCAGAAACACGACAAGAGCAGTGTTTACAATTTGCTCATCCTTGGTAGGGGGAAACATCAACTTCTGGAGATCTTCAGGAACCAGGGCAGCTGGTGTTGGGGGTGGCAGCAGCGGGTCTGCCACAACAGAATCATCATCAGACGAATCCTCACTAATTGGCATCTGGGATATCGGTGTGAGACTCTTGGATGGCGTCTCGTCAACTTGGAGGTTTCTAAATTCTTCCTCCAGATTTCTCCTTGTGTAGCTGCGGGTGCGCTTGGCAACTGGGGTATCAAAGCTGTCCGGTCGCATACACTTCCCATTGTTGGCCGCTTTGACTTGATAATGTCGGGCAATTGCAAAGCTGCCCTCTGGATTTTCTCCGTTTACGATGCTACTGCAATAGCTCGCCCAGGATTGAGATTTATTGAGAAGTATTGTGGCCTGGGTATGATATGGCTCCAGGACTGGTGGCAAGCTGGACAGTCGATTTCCGAGATGTAGTTTCCAGAGAACACGCAGGAGCAAAAATTGCTTGAAGTCCATTTTGGAAGCCGACGCAAGCTCAGCCGTATGCACTGTCTTGCCAACAAGACCGTGTGCCTTAACAGCATCTTGCCAGGTACTGTAATCGACAGGCAACTTGGAAGGTACATCAGCCATCTTAGAGAATATGAGTTCCTGTTGTTTACAGGTCAATGAGTAACAATAAAGACCAGGGCGTATGGTTCCGCAAATGTGAAAGCTGAGATAAAAAGAAGAGTCCAATGCCAGATGCTGGATAGCTGGCGCCTTTCTGTGGAAAAATACATCTGAATCTACTGGCAGGAGAATTGGGTACATAGAGAATATAAGAGCGGAAACCAGTCTACCCAGCTAAATGTGGAGGGAGGACTGCAGCTCGTCGCATTAGAAGAGCTTGACTGTCCTCCGGGATTCGCCCATGCAGTCCATGCGCGCAGTGCGCACATCTCTGGGATATTCCAGCGATTCTTGGGAAAGAGCCACATCGGCTTGGGTGGGGCAACAGTTGCTCTTTCATCTTCATGACCTGCGCACGGATACCCTTAAGGAAAACTAGCGGGAAATACGCCGCTGGGGAACTCCGGGGAAAATAGGTGGTTGGTGGACCGGCGTCGCCCAGCAACAAATGACCGTCACCGCCCTGGACGCCGGCGGCAAAACAAATCCATTCGCTTTAAAGGATTGATCATCCCATCCCCCTTTGACAACTTATTGGTGGTTCATATTTTCCATCTCCTTCGCCTACGGAGCTCACAATGTCTATCCCTGAATGTCCTAAGCGTACGGAAATGCGCAAGTCCTTGCGTAGCCTTGAGAGGCACATCACAGGGCTTAAACCGGACCATCAAATTAGAATGATTTCAGCTGAGATCGATCAAATTCGATTCCTGCCCATGGTCTTGGATGAAAATTCTAAAGATAGACCTGCTTATTTTACCTCCTTGGATGGGTCTTTCCTGCTGACGCCGGACGGCAAATATGACCAGGAGTACAGTATGGAGTATGATACCTATGATTCGATTCCAGCAGAATGCAGAGATCCAAAGACTTGCGCACGAGCAATCGAAATCTACTGGTCTACATATATCTCCCGCTATTCCTTCAGCAACAAGCCCCCAGGTGGCGAAGTTGTATGGTCTCCCGTCAGGTAGGATAATTTACCCTTTTTCCCGCATTCATGATTCTGACGCTGTCAAGAATGCATCGTGTTTATAAGGAAAGGGACCTTTATCGATTCGAGTACCCAGAGTTTGGAATCAACGATATCGAACAGGTCACAGAAGGGCCTTATGCACATATTAAGACTACTTTATACAACAACCTAAGCGCCAATGATGACCACATTCTTCAAGGTGAACTGCTTCCCATTTTACGTCTGATGTTAGCCCATCTGAGAAGGGCACGGTTCATCGACCATATGGTTGTGCCGGTAAGTATTCAATGTCTTACTCTTACAACCAAAAAAAGTAAAACCTCATGTCTAACCTGCGGCTTTAGGTGATGGCGTTTTCCTTCATGGGGCCTCAGCATGCTCGCGTCATCGAAGCCTACATGGAAGGGCATACAGTCGTGGTGCGACCGACCAGACTGTACGATCTCCGCACTAAGGATACGGCCGCCTTCAAGACGTTTGCCCAGTGGTATTTCGGAAAACCACGCGCCCCAACCGGATCTTCTCAGTAGGTTGACCGTTACACTGCTAAGCACCTTTTTGTTTTTTATTTTTTGGGTTTGGTCTACGGCGCGCTGGAGGTGTTAAAAATTGGAACAGGCAAGATTGGCGTCTTATTTACGATTCTGATACAATTGATTGGAAGGATACATGAGCAGGTTTTTGATTCTCTAAATTATGTCGTACAAGTACTTGCCTCAATGTACAGTGCCTTCAAGATACTCGAAAACTGCGGTCCATGGCGTGTTCACATCGGAACAACGACTAAGCTCAGGAGAGAGCCTGTAATTCACTACATAGTTGTCCATCTTCATTAGCAAAATCTAGGCTAGATATGAATTTGGTAGTACAACACCCGGACCGTTCGACTTACATGCTATGCTTAAGAGAGTCACGGATGGGAACCTGCAGAACTGTAAGAATAGGTTGCCCTCATAGCTGCAACGCTCGAGGGTATACGTAAAGGATCTAAAGGACAAGATGTGGAATAATTGCATCTCATTTTGTTTTTCTACTTGGCGGGTTTCGGGTCGGGGTTCGAAACCGCGAGGTCCAAACGACCCAATTTCCGATCAGGTGACTAGAGGGTAAAGAGTCGATAACGATTAAAGATGTGGATCCTGCAAATATAATCTACATGATCAGTACTAGAAATAATATCATCAGTTTTTGCCTAGCCATCGATATGATTTAGTATGCCAGAGTTCCGATATCATCCAATGTCAGGTGACTGCTCGCCCATCTCTTTTGGGCAGCAACATACTAACCCCAAACCGTAGGCGGTCAGGCTGTACACAAACTTCAAAATGCTGCGGATTATTGCCCCTCGGGCCCCTCATTTCAGTCATAACTGAATCTTTCTCAGTCGAAACTTCTGCGTACACTCGAAACGAGTTGACATTAGTACCTCCGGAAACTCCCAAAGTTCACAGACTTTCGGTATATGTCGCTAATTTTCGCGCTATCCAGATGTCAAATTCACTGTCTCCACGGGCTTCCGAATATCTCGAATCGATCGCAAAATGGTTCACCACAGCTGAAGTCGAGGCGGTAAACCAAAACATGTCCAGATGCATAGATAAGCACCGCTTCAACATTTTAAAACCATTATTGAAAGAGTTAAACCTCGAGGAAGCGGTATTTCACCATCCCATACACGTATGTAGCATAATTCGCTTATACACCATAGGGATTTACGCTATGGAGGGTATCAGGAAATATCCTCATAAAAAAAAACAAGGGGCTTGATAACCTTTTTTTCCCACTTAGTATCGACAAGAATGGCATTGTAGTGGGAGATACGACCCTAATGCCATATGATTTCATGCGATTGACTCTGGAACAACCGTGGAGTGGGGATTTGGACTTCTTACTTGTTGTCATACCTGAAGAAAAGAAGACTTGAGGCCAGTTCCATACGCTTTGCATAAATATTGTGTTGATATCAACATTATAAGCATCATTCTTTGTATGTATTATACTCGACAGACAGCCTGGGAAGTTGATTGTTTTCGCTGTATAATTCACTGAAGGCCTTCATTATGGACACTAGCTACAGCGGATCAACAGGGGGGGTTGACGAATGGACTGCAATATTTTGAGGGGAACAATGCTGCGCTTCAACAATAGATGGATCTATCAAGGTGTTTGACCCTATTGTTTGGAACAGTTGATCAGGTATTGAACTCGACAGGTAATCCAAGAAATTGGCAGGATCGAGGGCAAGAGAGTCAACAGACGCTGTACCGGGCAGATAATCCAAGAAGCTGGCAGGGTCAAGGGGAAGAGACTGGGCAGGGGCTGTACTGGGCAGATAATCCAAGAAGCTGGCAGGGT